AGATCTGTTTTGGGCATCCTGTATGACGTAAGGTACGCCACTTACTTTCCCATGTTTTAGTTTTCCAATATAAGATGTGAATAATACTTCTCAGTCTTACATAGGTGCTGAAAACAAAATTCTCAGGTATTTTCAAGGTATTCTGATGAGATTGCGATACACAGAAAAGCATCAGAAAATGGATGTTTAGACTGTGTAGCATTTCATCATTGAGATATACAGGCTGCCTTGCTACTTCCAAATGAAGTATGTTAAAATCTGGAAAGTGGGACATCAGCTGAATTAAAGCCATTCAGTTTTTAACTTAAAAACAAAATACAGATTGTCCAGTGAGAAAGTATATCCATGAAGGCAGGAAGCTAGTAACAAATTGGTTAGGAGTTATAGCAGAGGACAGGATGAGGAGAAATGGTATTGCTTGTGGAAGGAAGCAGTTTACAAAGAATTTACTTCACCTTGTTTAATTAGGTGCAACTTATAGACTAAGATAGCTGCAGACATTCCCTCAACAGCCAGTTGAGAGGAGGAAAGACACCTCCAGAGGCAGGGTTAGACAGTCTCCCCTGCGCTGGCTGCAAAGGGAACATGGATCACTAGCTGTGTCAGGCTATCTACCTTGCAGATAGCTCAGAGGAGGGAAAATTAACCTTAGCCTCCTGTTTTGATTTTTTTTTTCAATAGTAGCCAAAAGCTTAATGCTAGCAATTATCTCAAACTGTAATAATGAACAATCAGATATTGCACCACCACAGGAGTAAAGATGTGTCCTTATTACAAAAGAAGTATAATTAACCCTATCTTCTCCATAACTCTCTCTTGTGCAACTGCTAGCTGTTTTTTGGCAAATAGCAGTTTTCATCCACATTAAGCAACTTATTTGACAGATTTTGAATATTATTTGAGACCAGGATTTCTTATGCAGCAAAACAGAAAGAGAAGAACAAAGAAAGGAAAAGAAAGGAAAAGAACAGAAAGTGGGAGAACAAGAAATGTAAGATTCATACAAGGGGTAAGAAGATTAATCAGAAATTATTTCTCCAATTCCCCAGGAAGCAGATGCTGTGAAGGAACAAATCTGACTGAAAGAAACTGTGTAAAATGAGAACCATACTTGCCAAGTGATAAAGAATGCTGATCAATTTTTGAACACCAAGGATATGTCTTCCCCGAGTCTTGTGGATTCACTGAGTTCAAGGTGGAAAGGTCCATTGGATTATCCAGCCTGATCTCTTCTTAGCACAGTTTAGAAATTTTCATGTAGTAGCTCTACTAATGATCAGAGTAAGTTATGCTAAATGTAACATACAAGCCTTAGCTTAACTGTGAAAAGCAAGAAAATGTATGCATTTCTTTTCAGAGCTTATCAACTATTTTCCATTTCCCAGCTCTTTTTCACTGCCCTTGCACCTCCCTTTCTCTATCCCAGTCTCCTCCCAAATACAGAACCTGCCTCTATTCCCCTTTTCTCCATTGGTCCCAGTTTTCATAAACCTACAGTCAAATCTGGTACAGCTGGCACCATTACCAAAGTGATCTCATACTTCTGTGGTGGTAGTATTCCTGATGTGGTTATGTAGGTGCTCTTGGTACAGTTGTACTCTGCGAAAGATGGCCTTTTCAAAATATTCCACTTCAAATACCTTTGAAGTTTGGCTATTCCTCATGTAACTCCCCCATAACCACCTGAGATCCAGCCACCTTTCAGTGTGATCTATAGCTTCTCACAATGCTATGTTCATCAGTTTCTCATCACATTCTTTAAACTTCCATGTCCCCTCAGTAAGCTTAACCGCAGGCCAGGACCTAGTCAACAGCCCAATCATTTGTCTGCAGCATTAACACCATCTTTGTATCAAGTTTATTGGCCGCCTTTTTATATCACCAATATAATACTCATAAACCATCATGGTTAGAGCCAATCCCTGAGGTATCCTTCTGAAATTAACAGCTTGAACACTTCTTACTGACACTTCCTTTTCGGAATCTGTTGATTAGCCAGTTTCTAAACCAGTATTCTGTGTGTGTGCACATCTGTGCATTTCAGAGACTTTCAGCAAAAAATGCTAACACAAAACACAAAGAAGCCCAGGTACAATGGTTCTCATTATTTTAGTGATTGAATGTGACCATCAATATGGAAAAAAAAGTTATTTTCTAAGTTCAGCCATAAAGCATGTGTCAGATCTGAAATGAAGAAACGCCATGGGACAAGATCCACTGATATATAAATAACTATTGTTCTCCATTTCTCTTCATTAAAAACCAAAATTACACATAAACCTCAAAGTAACCAGCAGCGACAAACAAGTAGTATGTTATGGAAACATAACACCTAGGGGTGGGAATACTAGACATGTTGATTATTCTGGCTGCTGAAAATCTTAATAGTTTGCTAATTATCTGCTTACTATTTTCAGAATAACTTCTTAGTTGTTGAGGTGACTTTGCCATCCAGAACGTTTGTTTGCTTCTTCTCCTGGGCATCCTCAGGTTGTAGCAATACATCAGCAGTCAGGAACAGTCCACATATTCTCAGTAAATGGCATCCATAAAATACTCTGCAGAGCATCCTCTAAATGCACTTTCCACCAAATCAGCTACACCGAGTATCTGTTATTAATTGTAACCAGTGAGCTACAATCTCTTTGCTTTTAGATCAAGCCTTCATATCAGAGACATTACACCTCAAATAGTCAAGAAGATGGGTTAGTGGCTGCAAAATTATCAACTAGAAGGGGAAGGCCTTTCTCTTATATTCTTTTGCAGAAAACACCATAGTGTGCTATAAAGATTTTAGCAACATTTGACTTGCCTTCATGACTCACCTGTACCTTTGCTACATTAATAATGGTATGCCTGTACCATTATCCAAACTGATACAAAATCTTACCATACGATGAGGTATTTAAACTAATGAAACAGGATTCCCCTGATGGCAACTCATTTCAAAAGACCAACCTCTCTCTCCATTTGTCACCCAGTCTAGTCCTTGTTTTTGCAATTCACACATCACTTCTGTCATTCAAACTGGAATCACCTTTAGTGGAGACTTCAACTAGTATAATTCTTAAATTTCCTATACATCTATGACTTTATAATGAATAAAATAATGAGCAATAGCATTTATAAGCAAATAAATGATGGTTCTACCAATAATCCAAACACCACACGTATTTTGTATTTTGTTGAAGAATAGTAAATGGAGGGTCCTTCTTTTTTTTTTTTTTTTTTTTTTTGAGGACTACAGGCTTTCTTTCTCTGACCCTTTTCTCTCTCTGATGCTTTTTTCAGAGGTCTACCCTGTCTTCCTTCTCCTATTCATTTTGGTTTTGCCAGGATTCTATATGGTATTCCGATTTCTCATCACAGAAATGGAAATTAAATGACAACTCCTGGCAACATTATTCGCTCACTAGAACAATAAAATTTTCTTCTCCTTTGACCCCATCAAAACTCCTGCTAATAAAATAATCTATGACTATGTTCCTCAAGTGAAGATAGATGCATAGCAGATTCATGCAACTTGTGCTGTCTCTTTTAACTTTTCACTAGATTTGGATTCTGGTAGAACATGACAGCTCCAACACAACAAAACCGTCAAAACCATCAAAAATGTGTATATGCAAGGAGTAAGGCAATGTATAAAAAAGATCATCTCACTTAAGCCTAGCTGAAAGTGAGAATTGCTTGGCAGAGAAGCACTGACACTTCCATGGGAACTTCCATTCCATTCTAAAATAGGTGTTTAAATTGAATTTCTCTCTTGAATGCCTCTTTTCCTTGACTGTGAACTTGTATCACTGGATTAGACAAGATACTTAAATTTTAGGTTAATAAAGATGATTAGGATAAATTTCAATGGCAGACCAGTGTAGGTATCATATTATTAATACATTGTGTGTGGTGTCTATGGAAAGCTAATGATGCATGTATATACATGTCCCACTGTTTTTTATAGTGTATTATGCTTTTATAGTGTGTTGAAAATATTACAAACATCAGAAGAACCATACCACAATAAAGAACACAGTAATTAATACGTACAGACAGAATGTAAACTGAGAGGCTGCACTGTTCTACTTAGTGCACTTGCATTACTATAATCCAAGAAGAAAGGGACAGCTCAGAGAAAGAGCTGCTTTTAGCAGCCTTAGACATACTGCAGACATGGGATCAGCTTATGAAGAATCGGCCTGAGAAAAAGGAAGAGGAAAGATGTAATCTTAGGGAGCTGGTCAGGACAAACAGTCCCGTTTTGTTACAGCTAACTGAAGCTTCAAAAAATTAAGTTATGGCTTAAAGAAGAAAACACTTTCGGATACATTTTAAATAAGTTGGCATTACCTCGCTTCTGTGTGCAGCACTTTATAATCAAGAGCTGCACCCGAGTAGCCCACACTTCCCTCTCCCTCCCTGTGGGAATAGGGAAGAGCCGCTGGAGCCATGCCAGCGCCCCGGGCGGCGGGCAACCAGGCACTGCCTCGGCCGCCCCGACCTGCGACCTGGCGGGAGGCTCGCCCCCCGCGAAGACCGTCAGGGAAGAGAGGCCCGTGGCGAGCCAGCCCGCCGGGACAAACCCGCCGCCGCCACTGAGGGAAAGCCCTTCCCGCGCTCCCATCACTGCGGCCGGACAGCGAGGCGCTCGTCTCCGCCCTGCAGAGCAGCGCAGCCCCCCTCTCCCTCCTCTCAGCTTTGGGGCGGAGGGGAGGGAGGGAGGGAAGGAAGGAGTTACCACGGCCCCTCAGGGGCTGAGGCGGCTAACGGCTGCCCCGCGCTCAACGCGCCTGCGCAAGACCCCCGACCCCCAGCCCCCTCCCTCCAATAGCTAAGGCGGGCTCCGCTGTTTTCCCCTTCCTCCGGCCAATCGGCGCCCGCTTCCTCTCCCCGCCCCGTGAGCCGTTCTGACCAATGGGGAGCGGGCTCTTTAGGCGCCGGTGATATTCAAACCGAGGAGCGGCGCGCGCGCTTGTTCGGCCCGGTCCCGGTCCCGGTCCCGGTCCCGGTCCCGGTCCCGGTCCCGGTCCCGCCCCCGCCCTCGCCGCCGCGGGCGCTGAGGTTGGAGGTGAAGGTGAGTGCGGCCGTGAGTGCGGCCGGGCGGACTGGGGGGGTGGGTCCGTGCCGCGGCGGAGCCCGCGGGGCTCCCTCCCCGCCGGCCCCGCCCTCCTCTGCCCGTCGCTGACCCGCGCCCTGGCGCACACCCCCCCCCCCCCCCCCGTGGGGAACGGCCGTGTGCGTGGGGGGGCGGTGTCGCGGGCCCCGCGGGGTGGGCTGCGGCGTGGCAGCCGGCGGAGAGATGCGCTGCCGCCCCCGCGGGTGAGGAGCCGTGGGGTCTCTCTCTCTCTCCTCGCCCCTCTCCACCCCGCCATCTCTTCTCGCTGCCTTTCTCTTCTCACGGTTTCTTTTTCTTTACCTGAATTTTATGAGGGCTTATGGAAAGTGGTGGTGTTTTTTGTTTTGTTTTGTTTTTTTTTTTCCCTTTTTTAAGGCCGATATGTTATAAAATTGAACGAGAAAGAAGTCCTAGACAGTACAGCTGTTTGCAGATTTGGCAGCATGTAAGAATATATACTTGGGTGAGGGTATCAATCCATTGTGCAAGTTATCTTCCATTAGGCTGAGGAGTAGCACTTTTTAGAAATAGACATACAGCAGAACTGTGCTTGATATTAACTTACACAAATTGTTTTGGAAACAGGAAGGTGCATGTGGGTGAGGAGAGAGAAAAGGAGGGAAAAATCTTGGAATGCGTGCCCATTTAGCTCTGTCTAGTGCAGGTGATAAAGCAATTTAAATGTCTGAAATGGTACCTTAAGTTAAAACTACTCTTGGCTACGTCCCTTGTTATTGCTTGACTATATGTTTAAACCTTCAGAGTTTAAAATCGTGTCTCAGTGGTTTTGTGCGATGCCCTGTTCTTTGCTGCCCCTTGGTAACACGCTGCTGTACAACCTGCAGTTTGCTTATGCTACAGCAGCTCACCTGCTCTGCTGTTGAGCCTCTTTCTGATTAGGCCCGTTTTTTTTTATCTTTGAGTCTTATCTTTTTTGCAGCCAAGACTAGAATTCAAATTTTCCTTTTTCTTTTCATAGTTGATGTTGCTGGATTTTTTAAAATTATTTTTTATTTTGAATATTCGGTGGTTTTGTTTTCCTTTAAGAAAATGCTGATTTAGCCTTTAGGACTTGTAAACAAAACCAAGCAAAGATTATGCACATGTATAGTGTTTTATTTTTTTTAGAGCCTGGCTAGAGGCTTCAAAAACACCACATTTCTGTGTATTTTGTGAAACAGTGCCTGGGTAAAGGAGAGACTTGTATCAGTGGCTGTAGTTGAGAACAGATTAGGAGTGAGTTATCAAGTCTGTCTAGTTAGAAAGCTGTTTTAATAATATTGTAACCCAGTCTTGTAATCAGGGTGTCATATGTGGGTTATGAAGGGAGTTGAAGTTGGAGAGGATTTGGAGGGCTTTGCCATTCAACTGAATTCAGATTTTGGTGACTGCTTTTGGAAAAAATGAGCTTGCCTCTTTCTAGTAACGTTTTTTTAAACATCTGCCTCAAGTAAACAAAAGTTGCAGGACTTCTTTCACATTCTACCATTGCAATTTGCTCTTTAGACTTTACCCTAAAAGCTTGCATCTTTTAACAAGGAGGTCTTTTGTTTTCATGGCTTCCTGTGGGTTTTAAAGAAACTCAGCAGTGTGAAAACTAGTATCTGTTCCTTCAAAGCAGTAATAAAAACAATCTTGTGCTGTAATATCTACAGAACACTAATTGATGACTGGATGAGTGACAGATAATGCCGTGTGTTTCTGAAGATGGTTGTGTGTTGTTATCACGCGTTTCCATTCTTACTTGCCTTGAACCAATGCGGCAAGATCCTGAGGGCAGGAACTTTTAAACGTTTAAATGTTCATGTGTAGTTTAGGAAGAGTCTTTGGTAGTACTGTGTTATTGATATAACTGCACTTGGAGATAGTTCTATTTCCTGTAACTGACAGCATTTTCTGTGTTATGTGCAAGCATGTGCATCTCTGCTTAAGTGATGAGCACCATTATGGTGGACTGAATATATGAACGGAATAATGCAAACACTGTAGAAGGTGGCAGCTATGGCTAATTTTTGCCTCATGTTTGTGTGTGATCTTTCTGCATAGGAAGGGAAGAATAGCTTAAATATAGGTGGGGGGAAAGTGTCAGAAAACATATGCGTGTAAAGTTCCTGTTTTAGAGGGATACATGGCATTTTACCTTTTCTACACAGGGTAGAGGACTTTAACTCAAAGTTCTTCAATATGTAGTCTCTTGACATCAGTAGATGCTTTAATCAGGCCATAGGATCAGACATAAACAAATATTTAAGATAACAGTGTAGCCACAATGACATGGGTGTATAAGGAAAATATAGGTAATAGCATTACATTAATTTCTTATACTAGGTTGATCAATTCACCCGGAGGAAAAAAGCTGGGCAAACTGTTAGGCACTTGCTTAACATTTTTGCTGCTCTCCACAGCTCCTGGGACAGACAGATGCAAAATATCAGTAGATTCTAGGTGTAGGAAGACTGTACCTTTTTGTTCAAGAATTGAAAAGTATTTTCATACTTTCTCAAAGTTTACATTTGAAGAAAAACTTCATCTGGCTCCATTTAGAAACAAGCAAGTAGTGTAACACACAGCAAATCCAGTATTTCAAGACTGGATGCTATAATTTCTCTTTATTATTAGCAAATATTTTTAGGTGTATTACACATTAAGCCTATGGCTAGCCTGTACTGCTGCTTCATCCATTTACAACATACACTGCTCTTTAGCCTGTGTCCCTTGGCTCCTTATTTAGTGGGTCTGTAGGAGGGGTTGAAGTTACTCTAACTACTATGCATTTTTAGAGGTAGTTCTGTATCTTCCTGATTTCCACATACATGTTCTCCCTGTTCCTTGGTTCCCTGTCCCTAACCTGTTTTCCTGTATGGATTTCTAGATCTTGGATGTGCTGTCATGTAGCAGTTGCAATTAGAAGCTCGCTTCCTATTGAGTGCGTATTGCTATTTTAGGTTTTTGCTGTTTTGTCAGATTTTGAATGCACTTCTCACACAAATTCATGGCAAATGCTTTCTTTAAAAGTGATCATGCAGCAGATTAAGCCAAAATGAGACTGAATACTTGCTTATGGTTGAACTTCAGTATGAGTAGAAGGATTAGTTGCAAATCATGACAATACACAGGTGAATATGCCCTTAGTATATTTTTTTATCTGTAAGTGTTGTAACAAGCTGACACATTTGGAAGTGCCTGCACTCAGTCCAAAAGTAATGTTTGAGCTTTTTTGTTCTGTTTTTACTACTAACTAGGAATAGTTTTATTGATTTAATGGAAGCTATATTTCTGGGATATCATGAAGATTTAGGCAAGCTTACAGGGTGTGCTGATATTAATTTACTTTTCGATGTCTAACCATTCAATTTTTGCTAGGCAGGAACTTCTTCAGGATGGAGAGCTATGTTTCTTGCCTTTGCTGGATTCTTGGGATCATCTGAGATAGTCTGACCCTCGTCCATGTTATCTTTTTGACAAGGCATATCCATTCTTCAGAAGTTGTCTCCATTTAGTACACATTGAACCTTGAACACTTAAGCAGCACACCAGAAATGTAAGTTTGATGAGTACTGATGAGAGTTAAAATGAAATTTATGCAAAAAATTATTTTTTGGTCTACTACATTTGGCAAGCTATTACTGCAAAAAAGAAGTCTTTTATACCCCGAGGAAGATATAAATATGGTGTTTTAAAAAAATAAAGTCCATCTGGGAATTGTTAGCAATTACAGTTGTAATAAGAGATCGTGGTATTACTAAACATGAGGTAAACTCATTTTGATCTTCTTGTTCTGAGTTCTTCATCCATATTTGAGGGAGTGAGTACAGTTTAAGGACAGGTCTTTAAGGATATTCTCACCCAGAAATAGGAGTTTGGGAGTATCTGAGTTCCTGTAACCCCTTTTACTGTATTTATGAAAGGCAAAACTGCAACATGTACCAAAATCTTCCTTGTGAAGAGACATGTTTTTTCCCTATGCAGTAAATAAATATCACCTTGAGAACGGTATGTGAACAGTCTTTGCTACAGTAATCACATATGTAATTTTTAGCAACATGATCTCCAAAGGATGGGACAGTTTACAGAGCCAGTCACAGAACAGCCTAAGTTGAATTTCTTCTATCCTCTTTAGGTATAAACAGATATTAAAGGAAGTTCCAAATGAGCACTGAAATTAGAATTTATTCAGTGTACTTTTTGGAAGAAAAATGGGTCTCTGTTCAGTGAAACAAAAATTGTGTTTCAGACAACACTGATTTAGCATGCTGCCTCTAGCTTTTATAGCTTTTTTTTCCTGTATGGATCTTGCTTACAGCTGTATTTGGGTGATGCTTGCTTCTACTTTTATTAGACCACTGAAAATATTTCATTTTGTAAAGGAAAGAAGGAAGCATTTTTGGAACTTAATGCTTTTTTTGCTTTTCTGCAAAGATACTATAAAGCCATGTCCTAAGCTTCTCACCACACTCCAAACGTTGTTAGTGACGCCAAGACCTTTTGATAGTTGTAATGTAGATGGTACTTTTGACAGACTATCTTGGAGCTTATACCAAAAAACCTGCGTTTTGAATCTACTAAAATAACTCTTCTATATAAACATGTGTTAATATTCCTGGTGGGCTGTTTCGAGTACAGGAAGGATGTGAAGTATGCCCACTTCCGCTGTATAAGCAAGCTTTGTAAACAAGACAGTCTTTCTGCTTTATGGTCTCTGCTTGGGGAAAGCTGTGAGTCTGGTGCTTTTAAAGAAATGCAAACTTGTAATGACTAAGGGTCTAAAAATTAATTGTGAGACTTCCTGAAAGTGGTGCCAGGTTTATTTTTAGATAGTGGAATTAGAGGTGGATGAACTTACTTTATCCCATTCAATTACACCTCTATCAATAATTAATCTAAAATAGATCTAATCTAACTGGGCCTTCCAGCAACTTTTCATTGACTTGTTATACCTGAGTACAAAAGGAACAAAGACTGATTATTCACTGTAAAATGAACTTAGTCTGTCTTTGACTCTTTTTAATCTGTCCAGAGTGCATTACCTTCCCTGTTTCTGGGCCCAGCATCACAGTAATTGGGAAGTCAAATCCCCTGGATATGCGCTTAATTCACCTAGGTTCTTAATATCAAAATTCTCCAGTTCATTACATGCATGGAACATTGATTAATGTGGGAAAAGCTGTGGTAAGTGTTTCATGAAAATGTAAAAGATTTTTGTTGTAGGCAAAAAAAATGTCGTTTTTCTTCAGTCTATTAATCACTCTTGCTCTGCTCATATTGTCTAGATTCTTCTTTCAGCTATATACATGCACTATATTTCCATTGATAATAAACTGATATAGTGTCAAGGATTTGGTATAAGTTTCTTAAAAGTCTTTAAACCTCTGAATCCATATCCTTTTAGAAACTTGAAAATAGGTGTTATTTGTTTTTGGCAATAACCCTTTGAACAAAGGAGCATGTGAATTCTTTTCTGCTTACCCACTGTGAAAACTAATTGCTGTAACCTGTGGCAAGGAACTTAGAATAACATTGAGTGCTAAACTTTTAGGCAGAATAAAAGGAGGATGAAATCATTGCTTGTGTTGGCTTTATGGATATGTATGTGCAGAACACGTCTCATTTTATGTCTTTCCCCTTTCTGTGAATTGCCCGTAGCAACTTATGTAAAGGGACAGGGGCTGTGAAGAGAAAGAGAAGACTTATTTTGTGGGAGATAAAGCCTGTAAGGACCTCTCTTTCTGTGAGGCTTTTTGTCCTGGAGCTGTTGGAATCTGAGCCCCTGGCTTTTCTTGTAGTCTGAACTGTGGCTGCTTTCTGTGTATTGGGCATGTACCACTTGTTAAAGCAGTAGGGAATCTCTTGGAGGAAGGGAATCATCAGAATGGGATAAGTTTGTGATAAACAGGGAGGATATAAAGTTTGTTTGCTGTTGTACAGATTTGGCTACATAATATAGGAAGTAATTACATCTCTGTAATTGCCCAATGTGTATATACAGTAAGTAATACAGAAGCTTGTGCTAATGGGTTTTAAAATACTAATAGACTGTGATAGGAAGGGGATGTGTGCTAGGGAGGTAGCTGAAGTATGAAAGTATCAAATAAGAGGAAAAATGCCATTTTTCTTACAAGCACTTGCTTGTGCTGCATCTGTTGAAATTGCTGAGCGTGTTGGTGTGCTCTTTCACTAGCTCTGCTGGAAAAAACCTCCAGGCTCTCAGTGTATCCCCTATAGACATTTTACTAGGGCAGTGGTTTTCAGCATCTATTGATCGGTGGAGCTCTTAAGTCTTCTAATGAAGTGTCAGAAAATTATAATTTCAGTGTAGTTTAATTTGCTGTGTCTTCAGAAGTCTGTTGATCTGAAAGTGAGACCCTTACAGTCAGCAGATCAGCCTTGAGTACCACTGCACTATGATGTATTAATTGAGACTTGAGTGGCATAACACTTTTTACATTTATTTAGACGTTATCAACTGCAAACCTAGATTGTAATTACCAGCTTAATTGATTGCAGGCACTTACATACAGCATTTAATAGCTATGCTACTATTATAAAAGACTTTTTTTTAAAAAAATCTTACCTTTTCCAAAATACCACATTCAAGGATATTTACTTTTACCTTAACTTTGTTTTTGCATTTTTCCCTGCTTTCTTTTGTCTCTTTCAATGTATTCTAACAACGTGCGTGCACTGTGCTATGATTTGTATTTAGGTAGGAACTTGTGAGCCCTTACCTAGTTAGTTTGTTTCTCAGAATTATATTTCTGCTGGACTTTCCTTTTCACACTCACATGTGTCTACAAAACTTGCAAGGTCGTGACTATCTCTCCTTGTGGTGAGAAGATCCCTGGGTCCTGTTACTGTCACTAACTGTGCAAAAGAATGCTGTAGAAGCATAACATATCTTAACCTATATCTTTGCTTTCTTACTGATCTCATTTATTTCTGCTGAAGTCTTTTCAGGCAGAGATGCATGCCATCCCTCATCCCTGTCTCATCACAGCCTTAATTTTGCTAAGGCTTCCCCAGAATTATTCATTGTTTGGTTCAGTTTATGTGTAAAAGCATTGGTAACTTTCAAATATTTCCCTGTCTTCACTGCTAACCGTGAGAGCAGAGGTTTGGAGTTATGTGTTATCTGTCACTTTGCCTGCTTCCAGCCAATTTTTTCTCACTTCTCCAACACGATGTTAGTTGCAGTGAAACTTTAAAATTTATTTTTCAGATTGAAATTATAATGAGTGAAATTAAAAGGTTTTAGTCAAATGTAAGCATAAAGAGAGAGGTTTGTATAGCATACCTCTGGGTAAAGAAAACTACCTTTTTATTTTAGTAAGACATCACCTACATCTGTGATGCTATCACATCCTTTGAAAAAGTAATATGGCTTGTTCTTTGGAAATATGCACAAGAGTTTGCCCTTCCTGAACAGAGATACTATAGAAGGGTTAAACATACATAGTTTTGTCTTAATGTTCCTAACATTTACTTTTGTAAGCCTCAAATAACTGCAGTTATGTGAACATAAGTCTTAGTAGCTGACAAAGTACATAGATTTGCCTTAGGGTTATCCCAGCCTGCACATAGTCTGTGAAACTCGATACAGATATGCTTTTGGTGTTTCATGTGTGAACTTTATCTTCTGACTAGTGTTTCTTGGCTAGTGCTCCCCTTTGCTATCAGTTTTTAGTTTCATGTTGATTGTATTCTTTAATAAAGCAGACATTCCAGCCAGGAATTAATACAAAAGTTGAATATTACTTATTACAAGCAATGTAGTATAGTAATTTGTTACATATCCCTTACTGGTTCACCTGTATTCAGTGGTTTGTCTTTGTTTGTATAAACTTTTAGAATTAATCCTTTTAGATAGACATCTAGGTGATAACATTTTGCAACAGTAAAAGTTGAAAACTAGGACAAGGAACTACTTCAGAATGTTTGATTTAGAATCTTAGTGGTATAAGTAAGTGTACCACATTTCAATTAAGTGTTGCTTTAGAGAAGGATAATGTTAAAATTGAGGCATAACAAGAATAAACTGATATTTTTCCGAGCACATCTCACTGTCCAACTATACATGTATTATGTTAAATAAAAAATATAATACCCATTACAGAGGAGATAATGCTAAAAGGCAGGTTGTGAGTATCTCTTATGTCTTGAAACTTCTTTCCACTGTAAGTTATATCAGTGATGGAAAAAATTAATATTGTTAAAACAATTCTATTGTTATAGAATCAAGTTTTCTTTCCAAATGAAAAATGTTTACATTTAAGGGAGGTGTGTGTGTGGGGTGACACATCTAAAGTAATCGAACCCAGCATTATAGGTGTCATCAAATTAAAGTCTCTCTTTCCTGCCTTTCCTTTCTCTTGTCCAGTTGAGAGAGCAGGAAAAACATCAGGCAGAAAGATAAAATCTTTCCCCACTTTATCTGTTTTTCTGTTGGGATTTGTCCCTGAGCCAGGTCACTGGGAAGTCTGAGTAATGCTTGTTCCATTGCTGTTTGTTCAAGAGAAGTGGTAGGAGTGTATAGCTAGGAGGAGGGACTACCTCTTAGCTGTCCTGATCGATGGATTCTGGATGTGATTTAACACAATGGACTCACAGCTATTCAGGCAATGTAACCCACCCCCAATTTTAATCAAACCCTGGATATATCTTATTGGAAAGAGCTAGTGTGAAGCATGGACTAGTATTTGGGCAGATGAGTTATGTACTGATTCTTTTTGCTTGTATAAGTTGGCTTCTGCGAGGAAGTTTACTTGTATAACTACATTGACAAAAGTTTCACAGAATATTTGTTACATAATGTGGTTGAGTCTCAAGCTGCGCAACATACACGATAGGCTTTCCCATGGTAATTCCAATTAAGGTGAGCTACAACAGAGTTCTTCAGTAACTTCACTGGTTTTTAATCTTGTGTTTGCAGATGGAGGAGGAGGACCTAAGTGAAAGAGGGTTGCCACAAATTGCATCAATCATGAATAGAGTTAGAGACTTGAAAAATAAATACAGAAATGAAGACAATATCACAGATGAGCTTAACTGTACTAAAATTTCCACTGATACAACAGGTATGTGTTTTTGTTACACTGTTGTCACTTATGCAACAGATCTTAACCTAGATTGAGTGAAAGAACCATTGAATGAAAGGATTTAAGATTTAGCATTTTTTCAGTATTAATGACCAGAACATACATTTAATCTCTCGTTGTTTTAGTTAACTGTGGTGCTCTAATCTTGTTTAAAAAAAAAAAAAAATCGCTAGTCATATTACATGAAAACTTACAGAAAGTGTTGTCTTCTGTTCACGTTTGCTGCAGTTTTAATCAATGTTCTTTCTTATTTTTCTATCAGATAATTCTGGGACTGTTAATCAAATAATGATGACAACAAATAATCCAGAAGATTGGCTGTGTTTTTTGCTTAGACTAGAGAAAAAGGGTGTTCCTCAAATGGATGTTAGCCTACTGAATAGACTCATTGGTCATTACAGTCAAGCAGTGACTGCATTACCTGCAGAAAAGCATAGCCAAGATGAGAGCTATGCTCGCATTCTTGTGAGATTTGCTGAGTTGAAAGCGTAAGTATAAATTTTCAGTATAAGAACGCATCATTAAGAATTCTGCATTTGAATGATGTTAAAAATAGCTTGTTTTCATTAGTGGTTTCTGCAACAAATTGTTATTTTGAGTGTTGATGTTTTCATATTGGCTCCTTAAGATGACTAGCCAAAGCTGCTGAATTTCATCTGTTGTCTCCACAGTACTTGTGTTTTTTTGTATAAGCTAGTAAATATGATTGTTCAGAGCTATTTGGTTTAAGAGATGTTAACACACTTTTTCTGGGTTCTGTGTGTAAGGTAAATGGGGAAATATTATGAGACGCTTTTATTTAAGCTTTATACTTCAGCTCAAAAGAAGCTGCATGCGTGAAATCTGATATAACTTGCAGTAACTATAATCTGTATATTAAACTATGTATGTTGTGAATTAGGATTAATTTCCCTGTGGACTTCTATAACTGATTTGGCTGTGAGGTAGACAGTTGGCTATTATCTAATTCATCTAGTCAAACCATAGTGGTCTGTCCTTATTTAGTCTTTCTCCCTTACTAGAAAAGACTCATCCCAGCTACATTACATTAGCTGCCTTAAGGTAGGAAGAATGTCTCAGAACATCATTGTGTACTTTCATACCTATGAAATTAGTTTTGATTGTGATCATTTATTGCTTTATTTGGTCCAAATTTGAGTGCTGTGGTGGTTCAGATGTTTTCAGACAGAATGTGGGACAGGGTTATAATTTGATTTTTTTTTTTGTAAGGAGTTCTTCTGTCACTTGAAATATCATTGCAGCAAATATTTTGATGAAGAGCTGGGTTTTAACATTGCAGCAATTAGAGTTGAGCAGGTGGTCTGCCAGTGAGTATAGCTAGTGTTTTTCTGTTTCTTGTATGTCCTCGTATTTGGCTTTTTGGCAGGTGACTTGATCTTGCAGTGTGATATTGTCCACTTTTGTATGTACTGTTATTTGCATGGGTCTTGCTGCATTGGTGTTTACTTCCATTGTATGCTTTTAGTAATCTGTTGAATCTACTGTTAAGGAACAAGCAAGAGTGAATAATGACCTGCTGTGAATCCTTAGTATTTTGAAATGTAAGGTACTTTAGTGTAAGTGAAGTAAAGCATATCTTCCAGAAAGACCTCTTGTCTTTAAAGATACTGGGAGTTGGTGTTCTTGTTCAAAGGTTAGTTGCTTTTCCTCAGAACAGAAATTGTGTATCATATGCTTCCAACTCATACTTTCTGGAATTCCTTTTCTGGAATGGTGATTGGATGCTATTATCAAGTCACATCTGTTACCTCATATACAGTAGGATTTGTAAATTCAGAAAGATTATTTCCTACCTCCCTAATCACTTTAAAATTCTGGACCTATTTCCACTTGATCTTTAAAAGAAGGTTTTAAAGGTGACTACTTTTAAAATGGATACTAGAACTACGTTCAGTTTTCTGTGTTGTATTGCAGAAAGCAAAACTGAAGGCATTGTCAGTAGCTTGTTGATGCTAGAATGCATGAATACTATTAACAGTTCTAGTTGTGGTGTCCCACTGAAATGTCTTTAGTTGCTTCACTGCTACAGTCTTTAGAGACCTTCTTGGGAGAGTAGTCTATCTTGTTTTGCTATTAAAATGTACTCTGTATAGCCATATTGAAATACCTTCTGCTTTGGTAGCTAGCATTACTGTAGAATCTACCTAGCTCACTGGGTAGTTCCGATCTGTTCTTTTTGTTTTCTTCTTTATATTTTTAACTGGCAAGAACCATCAGTCATATGTTTCCTGACTTGCTAATGAAAATTATTTTTTTTAAAAAAGATGAACAACTCGCGCCCAAACTCCTCTTAAAGGTACCCTCCAAAATCTGGCACAGCATAAATCCCAATGGAATTTTGCTGTAAGTATCTCCCTAAATTACGGTCCCCAATTTGAAAATTACTTTAAGAGATTAGCCAGTTCTCAATCATTTATTATAACCTAATGCTTTCTCATTGAGTGGCGTATAATGTCGATTGTTTATCTGAAACTATGTTTATGAACTAAATGTGTAATCACACCAGAACATGAAATTGCTTTTGACCGATCAGATATAAAAAAACAACAATGTTGCTTGACGGTAGTTTTTGGAGATTAATGTGACATTAATCAGTGAGTGATTATTTGGGTCTTTTGTTTGGCATGTTCACTCATTGCTCATAATTTTCTTGGTGTTTGAGATTTCCGTAGTGTTTTGTACTCACCTTTTCTGTTCCTGTCTGTCAGTTTGTCTAGAGCTATCTATTTTGTCTCTGCTCAGTTTTAGCATCTGTTGGGGAAAATACTCTCATTTCATGATTCCCTATAGTGCTTCTGATTTTTTTAAGCTACTGCAAGTAAAGTAACACTTTGATACATAGTTGCTCTGATGACACTGCCTTTGGCAGGAGAAAGATGCTCTTCAGTAAGTTGTTTGCTGTTCTTCCAAATGTTCCACCTAACAGGAAAAGCAAGTCAGAGCATCACAAACTTCAGAAGCAGTGACGGAAATTTGGGATTATAGTGTCCACTGGCATCAACACTGTTTTCTTCTGATCAAAGGTGGATTGTTCCATTATTTGCACCGGACCTGTATTGTCCTGGTATATTCTCTAGCCGCGGTGTGACTATGTCAAAACTTTTTGACCTATTGTGATACTGAAGCTGTTTAAAGAACCCTTGAGTGTACTCTGAAACAGGCATAGATGAAGAGTCAGCTGCATCTGTGATTGATTATTTGTATTGCACATTAACCATGCCAGGCTTGATTTTATGCAGTGCTGCCGGCTGTAGCACAGTGCCACCAAGTGTGTGGCACCTGATGCCCGTTGGTAACATTAGGTCTTGTTCTGCATATTGCTATCCAAGTTGTTGCTGCTTTCTACAGGAACTTAAAATTTAACACACTTGTCGAAAGTTAATGTAATTCATATTACAGCTTCCTTTCTGTTATTCTGACTTTGCCTGCAGATGGGTTATTCTGTGCCTGTCCTATAGTTCTGGATGATCAGAGCTGAGTTTATTAAACTTACTCGAGTCCAGCAACATGCCTAAGTTATGATAGAAACTTTTCTCATTCTTAATTCCACAGAATTATACTGGAAATATATTCTCCTTAGCTTTCTGTGTTGTATTTTTCTGTACATGTTTTTTAAGCCATTGCCATAAATTTTTCACAGTCCCCACTTCGAAGTACTACCTTTGCTTACCAGTTGAGCCAAGGTGGAATTTTGGAAAAAAAATCATTTATTTCTTGCTTGTAGATTTTGCTAATAAAAGTGTTGAGAGAACTCGGTTTAAAAAAAAAAAAAAACGGGGGGGGGAGGGAGTCCATTGAAATTTAGTGTTAATTTGTTCATTGTGATATAGATTTTGGCCTTTTGCTATCTTGATGAGTATTTACTGAGGCTGCAGATCCTCTAGCATATTTAAACGTTGGTGTACTGTGTGAAAGCATCTTGATTGTCCTACTTTGGAATCTATAGCTGAATGTAAAAGTAGGATTAAAATTTAGTAAAAGTAAAGAAACTATTAAGTGTGAAGCACCTTGTCAGCACTTTGTGGCACAATCTACATTTTTGAAGTGTACCATGTTTTGGTGTGTCTGCTGAAAACAGACTTAAATCTATCTTGTACCACCAAATTTAACTGATAAGGCTGTGTTGCCTAGGAGTGTGGGGAAAACAAAATGAATTCCCTACATCTTATAAGAAGCTGATATTCCCATAGAATCCTTGATAAGAGGTAGCTATTGGATAAATGTTTTTGTGTCCTAGTTTTTATAGGTATGGTGTTACAGATGTACCAAGAGGAACAACCTCCTTCAGCGACATACATCTCTGCTAAGGGAATATGACAATTTGGATGCAGTTGCAGAAGTTCTTCAATGTAGAAAAGCTCATAACCTCTAGGAAAATTCTGGAGTTCAGTATTGCTTTAATGTAATGGATTAGAAAGTTTGTGACCATATTGTTGCAGGATGTAACTAATAGTGTATATAATATCTTCTGACTTAATACATTTTTCCACTCTTGGTGTTTCTAAAGCAGTCTCCTCCTTGTCCTCCTGCTTTGCAACCCCTTTAGTATAGGAGTGTGTGCATCTAGAAGAACAGAGGTTTTTCCATGGATAGCATCAGCATGTAGCCTGAAAGGGCTACAAGTGAGTGTTCTGTACAGATTTGTGGGTGTTCTGAAGGAAAATATCTACATATTTTGAGGAGTAATATAAGTGGTGACAAAGATTGAATCCTCAATCTTTCTCTTCAGGTTTGAGCACTTTCTGGTTTTTGGAAAGGGTCAGCATGATATCTTTCAACTATTAGCTTTTTAAGGCTCGTTGCTTGTTTGTACTTCACTCATGGCTCTAAGAAAGAGGAAAGACTTCAGCTGTAGATAAGATTGCTTTTCCACCATTACCTAAAGCCATCCCCCAGCAGATGGAACTTTATCATTGTTACTCTGACTCTTCACCTTGTGTAACTACTAATATGCTGTCTTTACAGTCTTCAAGATCCAGAGGAGGCACGGGACCAATTTCATCTGGCCAGACTGAACTGCAAGAAATTTGCTTTTGTGCATGTGGCTTTTGCACAGTTTGAGCTATCACAAGGTGTGTAGAGAAACTTGTTTGGTGGTGTTCTGTGTCGTTTAGGTTTTATTAGTTTTAAACTTCTGCTCTGTTACATAATTTACAAGGAAACTGGTAGTTATTAGATCAGAAGAATAATAATTCTGGATTTTCTTTTTTGATTTAAATATAACAAGAATATATGTGCTCTTTTAAAAAATAAATATGCACACAGTTCTTAATAGTTTTTTTCCTTTTTAGAAATAACTTTCAAAAAAGATGAAAATTGTCAGTGCCAGTGATTTCTGTGTTTTTTGATTTTTTTTTTTTTTTTTTTAAGCTTAGATTTTTAGGAAGTATGAGTAAGGCTCTTGCTGCATTGAAAAATTATGCTCAAATTTGGGTGGCAATTTCCCTTCAGATATTTTCAGCTTGCTTGTGTAAGAAATTCTGGCTCCTTCCAAACAACAACTGCAGATCTTTGTGTGGTTTATTTTTAAACCAAAATACACTGTAAATGTGCAATTTGGTCCAGTTAAATTTTCTCCTCTGCTGCTCAGGTTTTTAAGTAGCCAGCAACTGGATTTTAATTGATCCTTCTATTTCTTGTTTCATTGATCAATGTTCATGTTGGAACAGTGGAGACTGTTCATATCTTGTGTTGCTTCATAAATGCTGTGGGCTGATGTCTCTGACAGCATCATAGATACCATGTTCTAGTCAGTTGGGGGGGCAATTCATCAGTATTCAAAATAGAATGCTGGTCTTCATCATATGATGCCATGCAGCAGTGTTTTAGGCACACCATTCTGGTATGAAAGTGATAATGTCTCTTAATAATTCCAGTTCTCTTTATCGTGTTCCTTGCTGTAGTGGATCTGACTTGGGTGGGAGTCAGTTTTCTTCACAGCTCATATGATGCTGTGTTTTAGATCTGTGACTATACCGGTGTTGTAGCTGTTGCTGAACAGTGCTTGCGATTTATGTTTCTTGCTTTGCCTTTCCTCTGCCCAAAGGCTGGGGGTGGACAAGAGATTGATAGGGGATACAGCTGGGACAGCTGACTGGAATTGATCAAAGGGATATTCCATGTCATATAGCACCATGCTCAGCAATAAAAAACTGGGGGATAGTCTTTCTGCAGTAGCAGATGCTTGGAGACTGGCTAGGCACTGGTCCTCTGGTAGGAGATGATGAAATGATTGCCTTTGCATCACTTGCTCTTTTCTTTTCTCCCTTTTTCCTTCACATATTATACTCTGAGTTTTTCCTTGGTTTTGTTCTTCAGTTCTTTCTCTAGACTATATAAGTTATACTTTAATGTATCTAGAACAACAGGTCTTCAATACTTTGGACCGGCAGGCCACAAAGCTCACCTGGGCTTATGTCAATTTTTTTCCTGTGGTGTGTAGGGGAGGTGGCCCTAGCACTTGGTAGCAGGGTTAGGCTGTGTACCAACAGGCTTGTATTTTTGGGTGTCTTTTTTTAATCTTCTTTCCATGTGTGATCTGAGCAGTGATGTATGCCACCCTCTTTATCTCTTCCCTTTAACAGCTTGCTCTATCTAGAAAGACAAGGACATTCCATTAAAGCCATTTTCTTCTTTCAAAGAAGAAGCCTTGCTGGATATATTTTGAGGTTTTTGTGGCTTGTTTTTCTTCGTGTTTTTTGTCAGTATCCTGCAAGCTGTTGTATATTGCCTAGTATGAGAAATTCTCCCCTAAATTAACTACAATAAATAAAGGAGATTATACTGTTTAGTATGCACTCGGGATTCTGAATACATCTTACTAGATACTCCTCTTTACATTTACTTCTGTTGTTTATAGACAAAACCACTAACAGTGGAAAATCAACTTTTGGTCAAGTGTTTTTTTTTAAAATGTGTTTTAGGATACGGTTTAGCTGTTCAAAGTGTGTCCCATGGAGCAGAGCCATTTTATTAAAATCAATAAGTAAATACTCATTTGTCTTCAGGTTTTCCAGTTTTTCTTCACTAGTAAGTTTATTTGTAATGGAGCATGGAAGGCTGTAGAAATACATGCCATGTAAGATGATGGAGGAAGGAATACTGAATACAGGATAGGGAGGAGAAGACAAAAATCTGCATATTTGTGACTTGAAGTTCCACGTTTTTCCTGTTTCAGATGAGTCAGTTATCAGACTGGTCTTGTTCTAATATAAACTTGTGGTGTTGAACTCATAAACAGTAGTAATAAGTAGCTAATAATTTGTTTAGTGAGCACTATATGCTTATTAAAAAAGATAATAAAACAGTAATACTGCAGTAAAATATATTGTCAAGTGTAATAAACAAAACCCATTGTGTAATTGAAGTACAGAAATGTTACTACTGATTACCAAAGACTAAATTCATCTTTTGATAGAATCACTTGTGAATTTAATTACCCTGTAGCTATGGGATGTGTTCATGTGATAGTTTCCCTTTGACAGAAAATAGTCAACCTAAAATGAAGTCCTAATCCCAAACAAATAAGCCATTTATGATTTACTTTGTTTTATCTCCACTATGTTCTCTGATTTGTATCTGTTATGCTTAAGCTGGTCTATTTGACATTAGGTAATATATATGACGCTACAGTGTCCCTGCTGGGTGCTTCAAAGAGGATTAATGTAACATGGGAGTTGTATATTGTTACTGAGTGCTGTTCCTCTCACTGAGTGTGTTGAGCTTAGGCCAGAGGGAAAGGAGGAGTGTAGTGCTTTACCTCCTCAGCCTGGTGATTTCAGCAGTACTTTGGCACACCTTCCAATTACTTCTGGATTAATCTGTATTTCCCTTTGCATTAAGAAGAAAAAGTTAATTATACATTCACTTTCCTACCTTGAGCAAAATTGTGAGCCAAAGCTCAAGTCAAAATTCTGCAATTATGATTGGCAAATTGATATTGATTTCCTTATAAATTGAATATTTATTACCTGAAGATGGAGTGACACAATAAAGGTACCGTTCTGTTCTGGTTTTATTTAAATGCTGAATACAACTTCATTAAAATAGGTCAGATGAGGAGCTCTTTCTTACTTTTAGTGTGCCTTGGGTAGTATACTTGAAGCAAGGTTTGTTGTGAACTTGGCTTGGAACTCATGACCATAAATAAAACTACTTTTGGCTATAAAAAATGTTATGCCTAGGTGGATCATTCAGGCTTTTTGTATGTGATGAAGTAGGTGGACTGAAATTCACAGATACTTCTGACTTAACTTTTGTGCCTTCGTTCCTCATCTGTTAAGGGGGATGGAGCGTTTCATTTTTCACACAGGCATTTTAGTTTCATGTTATTTTTTTTTTTTTATTCGATGATGCACATAATACTAGGAGGAATTAACTTCATTTTGAATAGCAGGTCTTGTTGAAGCAACGTGTGGTTACTAAATACAGCCATAGGTAGAATGCTGGTTAAGGATTCTTAAAAAGAAACACTCTCCACTTGCTAAGGGTTTAGGAGAAAAATAGTATTATATTATATGATTAAAAAACAACTTACAACAAATATGCACGATAGATTTAAATGAAATCATAGCCAATCTTATTTGGTGGTTTCTTGCTTCAGTGTCTGACATCACCCATTCAATATTCTTAAAAGAGGTTACTTATGCATAACTTGAATATATACATTCTTCTCCCCCTGTCTGAACTGCAGGTGACACTTCGGTTATCAGTGGAGTTTTGAGTGCTGCAGACATCATGGAGATCTGAAATAGAATAGTATATAGTATAAGAAATAATTATATATATTAGAACAAAGTGGTTTACGTTTTGCTGCTTTGGAACTGAGGAAAAAGGGCATTTGGGACTTCAAGGGCAGTAGCAGCTTTAACAAAACATTGCATAATTTTGCCCTGATGCCCTCTAAGCCAAGGAAAAGATTTTGGTTGTGGAACACTACTTTCTGTATTTGACTCTTGTATTTTGGGGTTTTTTATAATAGCTGTATGTGTACATGTTTACATTTTTAAATTGATTGCTTTCAGTGTTTTGTTAAAACATCCCTTTTTTCTCCCCAGTTCTTTTCAGTCTCTGTTCGTGGCATTTAGTAATGTATAAAACTAATGGAAGGATAGTTTTAATTTTCACTCCTCTTTTCTTAGCTGTAGTGCTGTCTGGAGTAGTGGTGTTTAACAGCTGCTTTTAACTTTGATCTCTATTAAGTGCATTGAAGATGTTTTATAATGCATATGTAATAAAGTTTATATCTGGGCAGATCTAAATGAAAGTCCATAAAGATCATCTTTGCTTGCTGATACTACAGAAAAAACCCTGGATTTTATAATTTGTTTTGTATTTCCGTACAGTTCCTGTAACACTAAACAAAAACTGACAATGCAGTTCTGTGAGTTCATAAAGCATATTTTGTGACTTGCTGTTCAACTTGGTGAGAAAAATTGACTTATGTCATTCACTTGTAACTGGTTCCAGGCAGTATCCTTAAAGTGGATATCTAAGGGAGGAAGTGCCCGATGACCAATGGCTTCAGAGAGTGATCCAAAGTGAATATAGGACAGCATGAGTGTAATCATGTCTAAAGAAAGACCATGTTGCCTTAGAGTAATTGTTCTTTATTTCCCTGATTTCTATCTGTGTTCCTTCCTGTTTAGGAAATGTGAAAAAGTGTAAGCAGCTCCTTCAGAAAGCTGTGGAGTGCTCTGCTGTTCCACTAGAAATGTTGGAAACTGCTCTACAAAACTTTCATTCAGAAAAAAAGCAGCTGCTTTCAAATGAGGACAAGGAGAACTTGGCAGGTAACTGCAATTTCTTAAAATGTTGATTGAGTTTATGCATGAGGTAATTCTAGATAGAAAAAGAAATCTTTCTAATGTTTGTCCCTTCTAGATATGAACTCATAATCTGCTATTGTCCAACAGCTGTATGTATATATATTGTAAGTCTTATTCCTTCGGTGCTTGGTTTCATCTTCAGTGCAGTGACTAGTTTACAGGAGCCATAGGATGGTAGATTTGCTAATTCTGCAGAGGGTGTTCCTCTGACTATCATTAGGTATTTGTACTTTTTGGTAGAGACTTAGAGCGGAAAATGTGAAGTAAGAGCCACTGGTGGTGTAGAAGAATTAGAGTTGAAACCTACAGACAGCTTCAAGGTGTATCTTGTGACTGGCTGGTGAAGTTCTGTCAGTCATTTCAATGAAGTCAAATCTAGGGAAATTAATCCATTTCGACTCCATTTTACAAATGGACAAAACCCCTATATTATTAGTACAAAATTGAAGTGCTTGGGTATATCATAAAACATAACTGATACTGATTGCTGTGTATATAATTTCAATAAGGGAACAGTTACCTCATGAAGTTTCCAAGAGATAAATTTGTTTGGAGTGGAATTTAGTAAAAAACATGATTCGACTTAAAGATTGAAGTGCATGTAACTAATTCTTCCAACAGTGGTGTCTAACACATCCGTATTTTTGCTTTGTATAAGGACAGAATTAGTGCAATGCAACATATCTAGAGATATGTCTTCAGGAATGTGGTTTGAAATTGTCTGGCTCCTATTGAATCAACGTTTGTGTGAAACACTAGTTGTGAGGGAAAGAAAACCCAATCATTTGGCAATAATTGCAATAATATTCAGTTATGGTATTAAATTTTTTTAATAAACTTTATTTTTGGTCCTATTCTGTTTACTGTTAATCAGATATAGACATTGTAAGTGCCACAGCTGATGTACTGTGCCACATGCATTTTTTCACATCTTCAAAAGATTGTTCAGAAAACTTTTGACAAGCTATTGCGGTTATAGTGATGTGAATGTAAAAACTATGCAGCAAATTTAGAAGCCTTTGGTTTAATTATTTTTTCCCATCTTACATGCACAGCAATCTAAAGTATTTGACACAGCAGGTGCAATAAAACATGTTTGGTTGGGAAAAAGTAATTTACTAATTAAGAAAAAAATGTAGGTCATAGTAAATTTCCTATACCAATGGAAAACAAGGCCTATGTGATGTAGATGATCATATAGTATCTTAGTTGTCTTTTTCAAAATACATGTTCCTTTGTGTGTGTCTTTTTTAAAAAATATATCTTGCATTGTGGAAGAGAACTTTCTATCTGAATAATCAAATATTAATTTCAACTTTAAAAAGGGTTTGTTAAGAAAATAATTTAAGAGGCTAGTGTATATTTGAAGGGTCTTAAAATAGCTCATACTCCACGGTGTTTCCTAAACAAAAAATTAACTACCTTTTCTATATTGTGACACATGAACTTAGCATGTTCATAGGCAGTTACTAAAGTGTTGATGTATTTGCATTAGTGTGTTCTGACTTCTTGTGGCCATTTGTTTGTCTCTGAGAAATTATGTTTCCTTCTTCACTTCTAGGAAAAAATAGTTTGAGTGATGACTGTGTTGTTCTGAGCTATTTATTTGTGGTTTTTAGGTTCTAGAATAACTTTTCAAATAACTTGATTTCTAGTTCTCCTTACTGTAAAGTACATCTGAAATAGATACTTTATTTTCACAAAGCTCATTAATAATGTAACTAGGAGTTGACTTGACATTTCATTTTAAGATTAACGTACAGCTTCATATAATTCTTCAATAACTGAGCAAGATTTTCTACTCCAAGATGGAGCTGGTGAATGAGCTGTTTGCTATTGCCTGTCTTGAACTTCCCTGACCTGGCAGTAGAGCACAGCTTACAAGACTGCTCTCAAATTTTCTATTGGTGAAATCAACTGGTTTAATTTAATCCACCTAATTGCTAAGACTAATTCAGTTGGATTTACCTGATATGAATTAAAGGCTACGCTCATAAGTGCTGTGTTGGCAGGTCAGTGAGGTGGAGGGACCAGCAAAAGGACTTTGGTAACAAGGTACTGAGGTAGTAAATTCTTCACTTGGTTAGTAGAATTGGCTGTAGAAGGGAATGTGCCCGTGGCCTAACTCTGGCAGGAGTTTGAAGGTGACTTTGAAATTTCTTTCAGCCTAGGTTTTATCAGTATGAAAACCATGTTCAGTAACTGAAACTGGGAAGCTTTTTAGTGTTTTAATGACTAAAATGGTCTGTAGTTAAAATGTCTCTCTTTCTAAGAAGGGGAAGGACAATCTCAACAAGAAAAACAAGTGTTTAATTGATGATTGGTATTTCTAATGTCCTGATTCCTGTCTTCTACCTTTGACACAGTAGGTAGTTCTAGGGATGTAGTATGCAACCTTCCAGAAATTGTACTGAAAAACCTAAAGGAGAAGGTATGCCTGTGAAAGATTTACCTATTTATGTTATGATTGCTACTTTTTATCATTTTCACTAGAACTGAAAAGGCTACATGCTTTCGTAATTGCAGGAACCTGTTAAATGCTTTAAATCCAGACGGATCTACAGAAACATAACTGAGCACAAAAATGTTGTATCAAAATGAAATACCACATAAATGAAATCAGAGCCCAAAAGCAAGTGTTCAGTAGGAGGAAAACAGGATGGGTCAGGGATATTATCAATATCTTGGGTCCCTGCAGTAGCACAGAGTTTGTAAGGATTGTCTAGACAGTTGTACCTTTGAGATACTACCTCTGAAACAAGTTGGGGTTTAATGTTTAATTTAGGATTTATTACAGTTATTTAGGTGTGGGTGTCCTCATCATGTGTGCTGATAACTTTGGAATGAACAATGAAAGAATCAAAACATAAGCAGTTTTAAAGTCTTCTGACGAGTTCTTGTGAAGCAAGCTTCCTTCAGATGATGCTATTTTGGAGTGGAAGTTTACTCTCAGAATGTAGATTTGGAAAATAATCTTGCTCTGAAAGTGTAGGTTTCTTCCTCACTCCCCCGGGATACTATTTAAATCAGTGGTTTTAGTGGTTGTTATTCCTCCTTCTGCATATAGGATAAAATTAACAGTGAGGTTTTTCAATTAGAAGTTAAATTGCTTGGATGGTCTTTGGACACCTTGAATCTCCCTTTCATGTGTTTAAACATAGTTTACAACTAGCTGTGTAGAAAATGAGTAGCTAATATATTTAACAATTGTTACAGGCTATTTTGTGCTTATCCTGTAAAGCTCCTTCTGGCTGTAAGTCTGTGTTTGGGTTTTTTCTTTTTTCATCTGAATTATCATGTCTTATATAATTATATAAATTGTCTATCTGGATCAGTAGAAAATAGTGATATGTCACTATTACTAGATTACTGCAAATGTACGTATTTTTAAGTTTCATTTATGAAGGAACATTTTTTTTTTTCTTTGGAAACAAATACTATCTTCATATTATCTGAATAATTTACCTAATTTGCCTACAGTATCAAGTACACAAGAGTCTGGACTTCAGAGCACAGCTGGAAATCACAGAAGCATAAAAAGGAATGATTCTGGTGAAAATTCTTCTACTTTTACCAAACTTTTGCTTGGGTAATGGCTTGATTTCTTATTTAATTTCTTAAAACATAATTTAAACCAAAACCAAACATGCACTACAATGTTGTGTTTTTGTTTTTTCTTGCCTTCAGGGAGGAGAAATCACAGGAACTTGATGCTCTAGTTAATTACCACAATCCATTAAGACCACTAAGCAAATCTAACCAGGTAGAACATGTAACATTTTGCTTCAGAATCTTTCTTTCTGCTTTACACACCTGGTAACTTTCATTTTTCGTAGGCCTGCCCCTTTGGGAGGGTTCCTGTTAAACTAGTAACTGATGCTGGTGATGATGTGAAGATGGATGTCCCACTCACAGCTAGTGTTATGAAGAGGTATGGTTATTTGGTTTGCTACAGCACAACAGATTTTAATACTCATTTTCAACAGTGTTTTTCTTGGGTAGTGGAAATGTCAGATGCTAAGAACGTTAAAATTGATCTAAAGACTCTTGACAAATAGTCGTTAGAGTTGTAGTAGGTATTGCTATAACATACTTCCTATCTTACTACTCAGATTCTTTGTATGAGAGCATGAAAAGATCAGTTTCTTTTGGCAAATCAGTAGGCTCAAAAGAAATGCAGACTAAGGCAAAAAAACAAACAAACACCACCAACAAAAAAACCACATTGTTCAAACTTTTATGTTTGTGTATTCCAGTTCCTAAAATTAGATATACAGCAGTCTTGTAGCTTCCAAAAGATTTTTAAAATCAGCTTTCTTAACATAATCCATATGATAATGATTGTATTAAGAAAGTGGTTATGCTCATTTTATTGTGAATAACTGTTCAGCAGCAGAAGAATCTGCCAACTAAAATAGCACTTGCTACATGTTACCTGACTAGCATAGCTTGAAAGTAAACAGAGGAGAAAGCTTCCACTCTGCCCCCCAGCCAAGTCTGTTCTGCTAACTTTCTTCCTTTCTTATTGATGTGTGATTAAATTAATGCAAAAATGGTAACTCTGGGGAGAAATATGTAACCAAAGAGTAAAAACTGCATACTTAGCCTCTCAGAAGTTGGTTAAAGCCCAATATTCTGAGTCTGAAAGTAGTGGAACAAGGTATTTCACGTAATAGTATTGTTCTGCAAGTATTTAAAAGATTTACTTTAGAACACGCCACTGGGGTTTAGTATCCTAGCCATAGCTTATTACTGTTTTTTAGGGAAGACAACCAGTTAAGTCATTTGTCATTTCATAGGATGATGGTGTCATTGTTACAGGTGTTTTTTTGTATTGGTTCTCACTTGGCTGTCTGAGTGGACTTGCTTTTCTGTATATTTGAAACTTGTAGCCATAAGTCTTCATACAACTGCCTTTTTCATCTAGTTCACAAAAAGCAATTGCTAGATTATATGTTGGCATGTGATGTAATTAACAATGTTATTTCAACAGGCAAGTATCCAGCTCCAAATGTACAGCCTTCATTTCACCTTTTCTACCACCAGAACCAAAATGTAGTGGGGGTGATTCATATGACCTGAGAGACTTACAGGTAACTTAAATCTTTTAAAAATAGATATAGAGGAATCTACCTGGCTGTCCTATGGTATTAGAAAGGAAAATAATAACAACTTTCTCAATTCAAGACAGACAAAGTAGCATTCTCCTTTATGTTAAAGAATCAGGAATAGAAACATTAATTGTGGCTTTTAACTTTGGAGATTGTTAGGCTTAATCAGGCATTAAGAACTTTCTCTGAAAAATACATCAGATGGGAGAAGTGTGGTGGGGATGTTAAAAATCTGTCATACGATTTATGATGAGTAGATAAACAGATTTCATCTTCACTACGTGCTTTCAGCTCTACTCATGAGTTTTATCATGGGAAGTACTCTATTCAATGAAGTCTATTTAACTGAGTTCACTAAGTGCTCTGTGGAACTGTAAATTATGGTTTTTGATAGAGATTAGTTTTGAGCTCTGCTGTGCATTTTTGTGTCCTGTGTCCTTGCTTCTTCCCCTCCACCCTGAAAAAAGAGAATTCAATAGTAGAAGGCATTTAGGTCTTTGTTATAGAAACTGTATGATGGAAATTCGGAGTGCTAATGGATTTAAAAATAACATCAGTAATACTTTTATGTGTACTCTGCACTATTTTCTGAAGCATATTTGCTTTGTAGTAAGTCAGTCATTAAATATCATAAGGAAATGTTTTTCAGACGCTATGCCTGGGATCTCCTTTGATTCTTTTTAAGAAGCTTTTTGTTTTCTTTAGTCCTTACAAGAAAAAAATTCTTTATGGTTTACAGATGTTGAATGAGAACAGCTTGGAGACCGCTACCAATTCAACTGTAACTCTCAAAACCAAAATGGATACAAGTCTTGCGATGAAAAGAGAAGGTAACTATTAATATGTGGTATTTTAGTAGTTTGAAGTAGAATAAGCATTGAAAAATTGCTATTCTGTGTGTTAAAAAAAAAAGCATTGTGAAATAAAATATTCTTCAAAAAGGTATAAAGTTGGTCTGCTTGGAATTGAGGAGCATTTAATTACAATTTGGCTTCTAAGTGGTATCTTTGAAAATTGTTAAAAAAGAAAACTCAAACAAAAAAACCCAACAAAACAAACAAAGACCCCAAAACCAAACCCCACAAAAATACCCACTGTTCGCACCCGTAAACGTGAAGTGCTGGGCTTGAAGTAAAATGCCAATGTATAGTGCTAATTCATTATGTCCTTAGCTCTTACAGTACACGTAAATAGTCATTGGAATAGCAAGTGCAAGGTTTCAGATTAAGACTTGCCAGTTTGAGTGTAGAAAAATGTTGCCAGAGTATCAGATAACAGTGCTAATTTATACCAAAAAAAAGGTGGATGTTGGCTGGGAGAATTCAGACTAAGGATTACAAAGTTCATGAGGGGTAGTCTGTTTAGACTTTTTTTGAGATGGACTCAAATTTTAGTAGGTTGCTTCTCCTGTGACTTCTTGTATATGCTCCTAATTTACTCTATAGATGCCATAGTTCCAGTATCTTTTGTTGAAGTTTAATCTGAGATTGTTTTGGTGGAAGTAAGCTTAAAGGTGAGACCATGACATTGTCTTTCATTTGAAAGAAGTGCAGAGCTCCTGCAACTCTCTCTGAATGCAGAACATCTGTGCTATTGGGGAATGATTTTTAACTTACTTTAGAAACAGACATTTTTGATGTATTTCAGAAATAACCTAAGCTCTACTTAAGTAATGGACGGAGTCTGTGTGAAGTCATCTCATGACATAGAAATAGGGGTGGTGTGAGACTACCTTACATTGTGGTCTTTCTGGAAAGTGTTATGAATAGCTCAGATTTATAGCAAGTATTTCAGGGCTGGTAAAATTTAGAAGGTTACTACTAGTGACTTAGCAGCAACACTGTGGAATATGGAATACGTTACTGATCTTTTACAGTTACTTGCCACTTCTGTGTTTCATCAAATCTAGCTCCCTAGACAGTTTTCTGATTTCTTTTACTGCTGAAGAAATTTTATGAAAATGTCTAATCATGTTGCAAGAGCTGGATTTAGGATTATACACATACCTTCCCTATTGTAGGAAATAAAAATAATTCCTTTCAAAAACAGTGTTTTTTTCCAACTTCAGTGTTTCCTCAACCTGCCCAGCAAAATCTTTCCCATTGACTTGCCTTGGGAACAGTTTGGGTTTCAGGTCATACTTTCCCTATTTGTGCTTCATGCAAGCTTACAGACAAGATGCTACTTGCAGTAGCTCTGTCCTTTGGTAACTGAATTGTGCTCAACTACTGCTTAGCATGGGATACTGCTTTTTAGTTGTTTGAAAAAAGCTGAACAAGCATGTGAAGGAACACTCTTTGGCTGTGCTATTTGCATCCTGCCCTGCAATATTCCACCAATTCAATGTCCTGTTACCTCTGCAAAAGGAACTGAGATGGAGCATGCTTTGTCCCTTTATGCCCCTGGCTTCATTCGTTACACTGGATTGTAGGTTGCCTGTTGTCACAGACAACAGACTTGTAATTTGAAGTACTGCAATAAGCTTGTCTTCTGTGCTTCGTAAACTTGCTCAGTGTCCCAGGATGTCCTACAAATTATGAATATGATCTTGTTCTGTGTGTTGGTGAAGGAAACAGTTGTATTTCTGTAACTGTTATAGTAGTATCCTAATATTTTGAAGTAAGTTGTCATGTTACTACACTATAATGTGTAATATGAATCCCGAAGATTACATTAGTGCCTTTTAATGCCTGATTTCAGCAAGTCAGCTGTGTTCACTTATTCTGATGCAGAAAATAAGGTAAAATTCTTCTAGAAACTGGGCGATAATCTGCCAGAAACTGTTTCAAGTACTAAATATTAAGTTTTGCTAATAATCTTTTTTTTTTTCCCCAGAAAATAAAGTCCAGCATGAGGAGGTGAAGGTACCTGACCTAAGGAGTCTGGAAAGTCAACAGCAACAATCTAGTACTGGTGAAAGCTATAGAAAGCAGTTGGATCAGATTAAACTAAACTGTGTTAACACCAGAAAAAAATGGCCAATACAAGAAGTGACACAGAAAAGCTGCTGTAGAGAGGTAAAGTAACAAGAATATGTAGTGGCTTCCTAGCTGCAGCAGCCTTTACATGTTGAAAAAATTATTTCTGTTTTCTTAGTTATGGCTCCTTGTGTGGAATAATATTTTGCTTTGCCCTCTGTAGGGAAAACAGTCAGGCCTTGAACAATCTGGTCATCCTGTTTCAAAGGGATTATCACCACCAGATGGTGTTTCGAAGAAAAGCGATCCATCATATGTTTGTAGAACACCAAGCACCACATATAATGATTATATGGACTGGTAAGCCACTTCTTCGAGCTGTACACTCACAAATCGTAGTCGACCTCTGGAAAGACTAGCAGTTTTTTAACAGGGTTTCTTAAGCTTTTCTGTTCAGATAGCAAACAAGATTTCAGAGTGCTTCTAACACTTGATGTCAGGTGCCTGACTTTAATCTTCAGATTGCATTTAGGGAACTTTGTCTTCCCTGTCAGCTTCTCAGCATTTAGAAGTGCACCATCAAATCAATAAATCCTTATTGCACCATTTTCTTCTTTCTTTGATCCCTACAATGTGACTCTTTCTTTTGGATGTCTTGTTTTTTGTGGCTGACAGGCTTTTTAGATTGATAACTGTGTATCAGTCTGGTTCCCATGATGCAAGTATCTGTGGGTTTAAGTGTAAGGAGTCTAGAGGCTTGCAGAATCGAGCACTCAAGTTAAGAAATGCTTGCATTTGTTTATTCATGCAATCTTAAATTAGGCATAAACCCCTGTGCATATGTTGATAAATCTTTCTAATTACATGATTACTTACTATTTTCATAAGTCTCTATGATGAATCATATAGGTCAATCCTGTATGATGAGTAAGCACTGTTTCCTGTTGGTAGGACCTCTGTTCCTGTAGCTGTAGAATTTAGAATATATGTAGGGAATGAAGCATATCATCTCATGATGGAACTTGATAAAATTAGTCCTTGCATAGATTCTGTTCTTGCTTCTTTCAAACTTTAATATGGAAATTTTAAAAAAATTAAGTTCTCATTACACAAAATATGTATGGTATGTATGGCATATGGTAAATATGCAGAATTGAATGCTTGTGTTCAGTGAGAACCATGCTTTTGATTTTTTTTTTTAAACTTTTGTCATTTAATTCTCTATAAAAAAAGTCCTAGGCATATAAACTCTTTTCCAGTTCTGATCTTAGTATCAGTTTCTGTAAATACTATGGGGGGAAAAAAGTATATTTTGTAACATCAAGGGAAAAAATTATTTAAAAAAAAAAAAAAATTCTTGCAATTTTTAGTTTTGTTAAATACATGATTTTTCCACTCATATACAGTGTAGCTAAAGCTCTCAAACAAAAAAAACCCTCTCCTAATTGCCTTGAAGTTGTTGGTCTCAATATGCTCACTTAAAAAAAAAACCAAAACCAATTGTCTCTTCATCTAAAAAGGTTTTAAATAAAGAACAGTAAGCTAAAGAAAACTGTGGCTTAGGTCATCTTGCTGTCTGTCCTGGTTTGGGCTGAAATAGAGTTAATATTCCTTTTCAGGGACTAGATGAGTGCTGTGTTTTGGATTTAGCTTTGGGTTTGATATGGTAAGAATGCTGATAGCACACTGATGTTTTCAGCTGCTGCTGAGACTTCAAGGACTCTCCGACTCCCCACGTCCTGCCCGTGTGCCAGGGCACAGGGAGCAGGGAGGGAGCACGGCCACAGCACCTGACCCTAACTGGCCAGTGAAATATTCCATATCATGGCACGTCATGCTCACTGTACAGAGGAGGGGTGGTCGGGAAGGGGCTCGCTCTCTCTCTCACTTCTGGGATTGCGATTGTGGGATCTTGGTACCTCGGGGTCGCTGGCCGGGAACGGGCTGGGGATTGGTCAGCGGGTGGGGAGCAATTACGCTGTACATTGCCTGTTTATATATTTCTTTTTGTTTTCCCCCCATCATCGTTATTGTTCTCGTTTTATTGCCATTATTAAACTGTTCCTATCTCAGCCTGCGAGTCTCCCTTCACCCCTCTGATCCCCTCCCCCATTCCCAGGTGGGGAGGGGGAAGGGAGGGTGACCAGCTGAGGTGGTTGGTTGCTGACCAGGCTCAAACCATGACACTGTCTTATGGTCAGCTCTTCTAGTTATATGGTGCTTTCATCTTCCAGTTTGTGGGGAGCGCCAGCTAGTATTTGAAGATGGGGATTTAATTAGTTACTGTTTTAAGAAATATTTCCTAATTATGTTATAGTTTAAGTGTACTTCTAAAGGACTTCTCTGTCAAGAAGTTGAAGTGGTCCTAATGCTAATTATTGAATGTAGCAGAGGCTTGGACTTTTCCTAGTCAATAGGGCTTAACTTGCAAGAAGCACTGAAGATTTCAACTTTGTTGTTAGAATAATCTTAATTACAACTAAATGCAGATATTGTTCATTACTTCCTTTAGTTTCAGAACGCCGGTTGTAAATAACAACTTTCTACCAGGATGTCAAATTTCTACTCCCTACAACCAGCTCCCATATTTCCTACCACATACTCCAGCAACTCCATTTCAAAATCAAGTTGGCTTGCAGGTAACAAGTTTAGATTGTCTTCTGCCATTTTTCAGTACATATTTTCATTGGACACTAGGTTCAATATATACATGTATGTATATATATTTTTAATATAAAGTTGCTGTTCATTTTTCTGGATGAGTAATGGAAAGAAGTCTGTATTGCTTATTCTCAAAAAAACTGTTTCTTCATGTGTGTGTCTGTAGGTAAAATAAGTCAGCTCTTGAAAAATCAGTTCAGTCGTGTCAAAATCCTGAAGCCTTGGTGTCTGAAATCTAAGCCTTTTCAGATTCTACTTCATGACAGAGGCAAAAAGTAGAGTCACTATCTTTGTTCTGCTATGCTTTTATAGTGGTACTACCCATTACAGTGGAGTACCCATAAAGAGAAGCAGTCTGTGTTTAAAAACCATAAGAGTCTGAGGCAAGTGAAAGAATGAGGAATTACATTCCTTCTCCATTTTGTTAGATTTTACAACTTTTGGTGCATTGGTAGTGGCCTGAAATCATGTTAACATGGATTACCTTAGATGGGTTACACATTCAGGTAGGAATCTTCCCAGCTGTAGACAGAATTGGAGAATAGGTTTAAGCTTACTACAGGAGGATTAATATTTAAAATCTGTGGCTGTTTTACAGCTTAGTGTAACGGGTACAGGCAATACAGGCTGTTTCAGCTTCACAGCACTGAAGTCTGTTAGCTAGTATTTAGCTTCGAATAAAATAGTAGGTGATTTGAGCACAGATCTAAGTTAGTTGCATGCTGTGACTGAAAGTCTCTTAGATAATCTAGTATCTAACATTATCTGTGAAGAGGGAGGTGTGTCTAATGATCTGAGAAGCTTTATTAAGGAACACTCCTTTCTGGATTTCCAGTGTGAAGAGCATTGCTATCTTTTAAGAGTTCAATAATGTTACATGCCAAGTGATGATCATTACACAAATACTTTTACTATGGGGATTTTTAGCTTTCAAGACAAACATATTTAAAGTTTAGCTTTGTTACACTTTATCTTGTTCAGGAAGACCTAGAAAACTTAAAGCGTAGTAACTTAAAAAGTAGAAATCTAAGCAGCTCTGCTGCATGTATACCAATAGTTACTTTCTTAACTTTTTCTCTGTGTACACAGGTTCCAGCTTCTATACCTTCAAATGAATGTCTTGCCATCAAAGGAAGAGTTTATACAATATTAAAGCAAATAGGCAGTGGAGGCTCAAGTAAGGTAAGATGCTCTTTTATCCTTTGAGACAGTCAATGATTCACACAATAGTAGCTGTACTGTAAACATGCATCTTGAAGCCATCCAGTGAGGAGTGCCTAGCACTAACGTACAAAGTGTTTCAGTGTCCCAGATAATCTGGAAATCTGTTGTTGTAATGCTATGCTTAGACTTTTTTCTTCCTGAATACAGAAGAAATGTAGTGCACAGATTAGATTTAGTACAATGCTGGTTTCTCTGAGTCTTCAGATAGCCTGCAATAATAACTGAATGAATGTATTATTATGAAAATGAAGCTTCATGCACTGTGTGTTACAAGAGATGGGAAGTTGGTTTTAAATGTTTCAGTATCATAGAATCATAGAATAATTTGTGTTGGATAGGACCTTTAAAGGTCATCTAGTCCAACCCCCCCCCCCCAACAAGCAGGGACACCTTCCACTAGACCAGGTTGCTCAGAGCCCCATCCAGCCTGGCCTTGAATGTTTCCAGGGAGGGGGCATCTACCACCTCTCTAGGCAACCTGTGCCAGTGTTTCACCACCCTAATTGTAAAAAATGTCTTCCTTATATATAGTCTAAATCTACCCTCTTTCAGTTTAAAAACCATTATCCCTTGTCATATTGCAACAGATCCTGCTAAAAAGTTTGTCCCTCTGCAGGGCCTCCTGTCCCTCAAGAGTCAACAGCCCTTCCCAGTTCTGTATCATCTGCAAACTTGCTTATGGTGCATTAAACTCCTGCAGCCAGATCATTAATAAATATATTTAACAGAACTGGCCCTGGAACTGAACCCTGAGGAACACCACTGGTGACTGGTTGCCAGCCAGTTGTAGCCCTATTCACTACAACCCTTTGAGCCCTACCATTGAGCCAGTTCTTCACCCAGTGCACTGTGAACCCACTCATTCCACAGTTGGAGAACTTGTCCAGAAGGATGTTGTCAGGGACAATATGAAAAGCCTTACTAAAATCTAGAAAAACTACATCCACCACCTTTCCTTCATCCACTAGGCGGGTGACCCTATCATAGAAGGATATCAAGTTAGTTAAACAGGACTTTGTCAACCTATGTTGACTGTGCGTGATGATTGCATTGCCCTTTAAATGCCTTTCAGTAGCACCCAGTATGATTTCTGTAATTTTTCTAGGAACTGAGGTTAGGCTATCAGGTCTGTAGTTTCCTGGGTCTTTCCTCGTGACTGTCTTGTAAATTGGAATAACATTGGCTAGCTTCCAGACAGCAGGGAGCTGCAGGAAGAAAAGCTTCCTGTGTTGGAAGTGTACAGTTGCAGAGTGAGGTAGGAAGGAAGGGGCCTCTGCATGTCACTTGGTCCAATGGTCTTAAGGCCAAAATAGAGCATGTTGCTCATGGTCTTTTGTAGCTGAGTGTTGAGTATCACCAGGGAGAGTTCACAGCCTCTCTGGACAACCCGGTCTCCTGATTAACTACATGATGGCGAAAGAAACTTCCCAATAGCTAGTTGGGATTTTCCTTGTTAGCTATGCCTGTTGCCTCTCATACTTTGATGTTCAAGAGGAGACTTTTTCATATATTCTCTTTAAATAGCTTAAGAGCAATAAGGTTCCCTGTAGCCTTCTCATGTTGACTGAATGAGCTCAGTGTTCTCATCCTCTTACGTGCTGTGTGGTCTAACCTACAAGTCATCTTGGTGTGACAAAATGGATGTGCAGTGGCAGGTCAAACTCTTACCTCTGTGGGAGGTGTTAGTTTGTGTTCTTTATCTTAGGAACATTTTAGACTTGTGATCAAATGCACCTGGTGAAATACAATGTGGTGCCAAGATAGCTTCTGATAGAGGGTTGTTTCTGTTGTAACTGATGGCTTCTTTCTTAATTTTTCTTTGCGCTGTCTTGTATGAAGTTCTTCGTAAGTTTAGTTTTGCTTCTTCCTTTTGCAAAGGTACACCTTTCCTTTGAAATTCTGACTGTGGTGAGATGAAGGACCATAGTAAATCAGAACTAGTATTGAATGAAGTTACTGATACTGTTTTTCAGGTGTTTCAAGTACTGAATGAAAAGAAGCAACTGTATGCTGTCAAATATGTGAATCTAGAGGAAGCTGATCAACACACTGTTGAGAGCTATAAGAATGAAATTGCTCATTTGATTAAACTGCAGCAACATAGTGATAAGATCATCCGTCTTTATGGATAGTGAGTAAACACTAATTTTATTAAAGTAGTATCTTTTTATATAAAGAAGTTGCCTTAAATTTTAACATAAGTATATTTTTTTAGTGAAATTACAGATCATCATATCTACATGGTAATGGAGTGTGGAAATATTGATCTCAATAGCTGGCTCAAAAAGAAGAAAAACATTGATCCTTTGGAACGAAAGAGCTATTGGAAAAATATGCTGGAAGCTGTTCACACAATCCATGAATATGGTATTCTTAAATACTTCTAGGTATTTGTATAGGTTATATGGCAGAGATAATGTGAATGTGTTTAAGTTTGGGAGGTGGTACTGTGCTTAGTTTTGGTGTTAGCTTAGTGATCTTCAAAGATGGGTATTCACTGTATTGGGAAAAAAGTCAGTGAAACAAGATGAGTAGGTCTTGATGCAGCAGTAGACTGACTTTGCTAATTCAAAGGGATCTCAAAGTAACATTGTATAATGCTTTCTATTTCCTTGCAACAGCCAGAAAATTAATCTTTTCTGTATTAGACCACATTGTATACTCCCAATACTGCTTGTTCTCCATTACATGCAAATGTAGCCACTCATCCTCTCCAAATAATCTTTGACATTAATGACAGCTTTTACACGTCTGTCATCTTTGCTTTGACATAGTGTTTCAGCTTTTTCTCATAGTTCTTCAGGCTCTCCTTTCATCTTTACCTATGTAATTGAAGTGCATGCATCTGTATTGTTTTGCTGTACAGCATGAGAGAGCGCAGATTTGGATCCTTCTATTTAAGAAAAAAAAAATGGAGAACTATACATATAGCAGAAACCATCACCTCTTTACAGCACAAGAACACTAGAACATTCAATAATATAGAAAGACAGCAAGACCTGCTGAAATAGAGCCTACTTATTATGTGATGTGTCCTTGAAACAAACAATTCTCCAAAATATAAAGATGGATTGGTTGATTATATGGATAGTAGCCAAAATTCATAATAAATCATGTAAGTAGGGTTTGTGAGAAGTCACTCATGTAATCATCAGTGAATGATACCTTTAAGATCAGGAAGCAGAAAACATCAGACTAAGCAATATAATTCCTTTAAGTACCTGCGTAGCTGATTATTTAAGAGAAAGCTACAGGAAAAGACAGGCCATTGAGTTGCTCCAGAACAGCAGTGCACATACAGCTAGAGGGCCTATCCCTAACTGAGAGATACTTTGCAACTCAAGTCTTTTGGAGCTATTTTGGGATGCCTCCAGATTTGAATAAGTAATAATTCGGACTATGAACTCATGCAAGTCTCTTAACTGTTTAAAAAGAAATGGAAATACTTTTATGAAATTTGCAAAGAATAGTTTGGTTTTGGCCAGGTAAAGCTGATCTGCACCTTTTCTCTGTGCAAGGTTTATGGGAATTGAGCAGTAAAAGAACCCCATAGTAGTAATGTAGACTGACTAAACCTAGATTGACTTTAAAATCTATTTTACAGGTATTATTCACAGTGATCTGAAACCAGCAAACTTTCTGATAGTTGATGGAATGTTAAAACTAATTGACTTTGGCATTGCAAACCAAATGCAGCCAGATGTGACAAGCATCATTAAAGATTCTCAGGTGAAATACTTCTGGAAAGTTGGTGTACACATTTCTGTAAAGTGCTATAGTACTTGCTGATTATGTTGATTAATGCAGTAAGTTAAATAAATACTGACATTTTATGCTGAATTTTTATACATAGAAATCTTTGAATTTTTACATGTTTTTATTGAATGAATAATAGTGACCTTGAGCCTTAATAGAAACAAATTTTCAAGGTGCTTTTCAGTGGTTTGAGACAAAAATCTAACTTTTTATCAAGTGAGTTAAGTGCATGCTTCACTTAAAGGAATGTTTTTGGTTTTATGGTTAGGTTGGCACAATGAATTATATGCCACCTGAAGCAATAAAAGATATGTCTTCCTATGGAGAAAATGGAAAATCTCGATCTAAGGTAACATATGACCTTTTTTCTCCTGTTCCTTTCACGTTAAGAAGAAAGTAATTCAGGCTTATATCTTAAGACTTAGTTTTCTCAGTCTTCCACTGAAACTAGAACATAAAGAAATCCATTGTGCTGTGATGGTGGCGGGCAGAGGTTGAAGGCTGAGTTTATTCCTCTCAAGTACTTGAAAGCATTTTTCAGATGGTGTTTAGAAAAAATTTAAGTGCTGAATTAATGAGTAAAATTGAAAGCAAAACAGATGCACAGGCTTGGGTGTTGGAGGAGCTGATGATAATATAATGATAATATTGAAACTGATAATGGAGCAGTATGAAAGTCTTCCGCTATGTTATCAAACAGCAATATATAGAGTACAGTGAAATGCATGCAGCCTTTTACATAGAATCATAGGCTATCTCAAGTTGGAAGGGACCCATGAGGATCACTTGAGTCCAACTCCCTTCTCACAGTCACATCAGAGGCTGTACCGATGACTGATGTTACAACGGTCTGTTGAGGATCTTAAGGGTCCACCACGCTGTGCATCCCTGACAGGCCCTCCTTTGCACTGAAATCACTCCAGGCTAGAGCTTTCAGGGAGTGTTTGAGAGGATCTTCCATGAAGCCGAGAGAGAATCGTTCCTCAGTCACTTCATTGCCTATAGTGCTGCTTATGCCCTTTTGTTTTACCTTTGTTCTGCCAAAAATTCATGGAGCTTTTATGGTACTGTTAGCTGCAGCGCAGCTGCATTTTAACGTTCTTCATAAATAACCTTGGCTTAGAAATCTTTTTCTGAAAGCAAGAAAATTTGCTGGCTGATATAAAACATGGTTAGGATGTTTGCTTAAACAAGAGGATATGATGGTGCTTGTGCCATTGTCATACTTTTTAATTCTTTTAAGTGAGTTTAATTCTTCTGTGTTTTATATGAAATGAGTGATACCTAATAAGGTCTTTTAAAAGATGATATAATGAAGTCTTGTATTTTAGGGGACACGTGAGTTCTGTGTATCCTATTAATTTCTCTGTGTATTGTAGAACTTCTTATAGCTTCAGGGCAATGGAATGTGAATGATGAGGAAAGTACAGAGGAAAGCAATTTCACATTGGCAGTCAAGCTTCAGTTAAGGGATACATAGTTTCGTGGAAATGTATTGAAGAAAATAATCCATGTTCATATGTACATGCATATACACACTCAAAGATTGTGACTTAATGGAGGTATTACAGTGTAGTGGAACAATCTTGTCTTTCTAAACATAGAATAGAAAGTTTTATAGATGGATTTATTTTAAGGTTGATATTTCTAGCCTTTTTTTGTATTTTTAAAAATCGCATGCAAAGTGCAGACTTGTTCTGGAGCTCTGCTCACCTAAGCAAAAATCTAATTGTGCTGGGAGTCAAACTCCATGTGCCTCTTTCCCCATGTTTCTCTTCTTCCCCTGCTCCCCCAGTCTTACACGCTTTTCTTAAAGTGCTTCAGCTTCAACAGGAGTAGTGAAAAATCTTCCTGTAAGGAACAGCCCAGGTGTGGTGGTTGAAATCTGGTTTTTAATCCTTTAAACCCTGTTTAGAGGAAGTGAACTATGGCTTTCCACTCTGAGGACATAGCTGTGATGTCTCATTGGTTTCTGGACTGAATTCAGTATGCTTTTAGTTGTATTTATTCATAAATCCAAAATTAAAATCCTGCTGTTCGACTTAAAGGACTACCTTTAATTTTATTTTCAGTTAGTTGCTCAGGTAAGTTGATTTTCAAAGCTAATTAATAAAAATAGCTTTTTTATGGAATATTAGTGAATGAAGCCACATCACTGTCTTAATAGGTAATGGCATGCTGTGTTGGTCATTCTGTGATAGCTGCTCAGATCTGTTATCCAATGTAAAAAAGATTTCCTGTTAAGTTGAAATTACTGTACAATTCTATGATAAATTGACTAAATGAACACTTCCTTAAGTGAAGAGTATTCTTAATTTTTTTGTTTTTATTAGATAAGTCCTAAAAGTGATGTGTGGTCATTGGGATGCATTTTGTACTGTATGACATATGGAAGGACTCCATTTCAACATATAACAAATCCAATTAATAAACTACATGCTATTGTTGATCCTAGTTATGAAATAGAATTTCCAGATATTGCTGAGAAGGATCTTCAAGATGTACTAAAGGTAACTGTCCCTTGAGATGAATTTTGATTCAAATAATGACAAATTTTTATTTTTTTAAGCATATTTTCTTAAACCGAATCAGTTGTGCTTGAGAAACTTTTTTCATAAATAAAAGTTTACTGCTACTCGTAATAACAGGCCTTCTTCCAAAAGAAGACTGAATGAAGCTAGAGCTACTTCATATAGTTTCCTTAGTAAAAGTCTATTTCCAGCTCAGTAGCAAATAAACAAGTAAATACATAAAGCAGCCTGGCTTAACTCTTTTGGCTGACCAAGGCCAAGTAAATATATTAGCTCTTGTACATGCCACCCCTTTCCCTCACCCTGCATATTTGTCAGCTTTTGAAACCTGCCCTATGCTTTTACTCGAGCCCTAATTGGTGTTGCTCAGCAGGTAACAAACTGAAATCCAGAAACTTATCCCCTTAACTTTCAAATCTCAGTGTCACTTTGTGTCATTTGGTATAAAAGGATATTGTAGGATCTGTTCTTAACGTCTTCCGACATTGTTGCTTGAGTAAAATAGGATACCAGAGTTTACTCTGAAGATAATTGCTAATGAAGGCAATTAAGTTAATCTGTTTTGTACTGAGTCTTTCTGAATATGTAGCTTGACAGTAAGAAGTTATGACATGGATCTACAGGATCTCTTAAAGATCCTCATTGTTAATTCTTAGGAAAATTCTTAACTTATAGGCAGAGCATTCTTTTTTCGTTTGCAGTGCTGTTTAATAAGAAATCCTAAGCAAAGAATATCTGTTTCGGAGTTGCTGGTACATCCCTATGTTCAAATTCAAAGTCAATGTCAAACAGGTATGCTTATTTTAAAAAACATTTTTATTAAACAATATTTATAATTCTGTTTAATAAAGCGAAATATTTTATATTTTCCACTTCCTGCTGTAAAAATCTGTTTTAGTGTATGTTTCAGAAAAGACTTCAGTATTTTAATTCTTAAATATCTTACAAACTTACAAATTTACAGGTAGTTGTATACAACTTTAGCATAATTATAAATTAACTGCAGGTGTTCCAAATGCAAAAGGAACAACAGAGGAAATGAAACGTATCCTTGGCCAGCTTGTTGGCTTGAATTCTCCCAACTCTATCTCTAGAGCTGCTAGGGTAAGTAAATTTTCTGTTTTGTATGCTAATACATGTTCATGCAAATGAAGGTTAGAATGTTTGGTAGTGAAAGCTGAAAGGATACACATATCAAAGCTTTAATCACAGCTGCAAAAACATTGCACTTTGTAGTAGGTTTGTTTGCAAGCATGCAGAATCTCTCTACATCCTTCTGAGCAGGAAGGGCTGAAGGAAAGATGGTAATCTTGATTTTAGCTTTTTCTTTCCTGATACAACTAGGCCGCCTTAAGTGTATCTTTATTTTCTGTTTTGAGAGATAAATTTTAGTATGGAATTTGGAATATTTCAGTATGTGATGACTTATTTTAAATAGTAATATTTGTTATAAAGATAATTTTGAATCCATGTGTCATACAACTGTGTTCACCTGAATACTTGTGTTCTTATTAACTTTCAGACTTTATATGAACAGTGCAACAGTGGTAAAAGTCTTGATGTATCAGCATTTGCAAAACTTGGGAGTCAAAAATCATGGACAACAAAATGATATACTATTGTTCAGGATGCCACAGAGATGTTTGGTCTGTTCAAAAAATATTTTATGCTGCTAGCTTTTAAAAGGACACTCAACATAAAGTTCACATTTTTAAATGTTTTTTGTGTCTTCTGATAATGCTTTGCAGATAATTAAAAAATCTAATTCAGTGCTCTTCACTGTGGGCTGTTTCACTCTTTGCATACCACGTGGATTGAACAATGAAAACTGCTAGTTGGTGATCATGGTCTTTGGAGTACAGAAACTTTTATGAGAATCTTCGAGCTCTTTTATGGCCCTGAAGTTAAAACAAAAAAAAGTTCCTAAAATGCTAGTTGATGTACATAAAAAACATGCAAATGTGTTTTGAAATATCTCCTATGACAGAATATTATGCGCTTCTGCTCTTTGCCAGCGACTACCTCTGCATCCAGTTTTGATCATAACTAAGGAAATATAAGTGATCATTTACAATACTGGTAGAGACATGTAAATGTCACCCAGTTTTTGAGCTGTTCCTGTGTTTAAATGACATGGTAGAAATACCAGTACTGTTCTGAAGTTGTATAAATAAAATATCTTTTTGTTCTATTAAAAATCATAGAATCATGGTTTGGGTTGGAAAGGGACCTTGAAGATGATCTACTACTTCCCCCCCTGCCCCGCCACCAGCCCAGGGTGCTCCCAGCCCCGTCCAACCTGGCCTTGAACCCTTCCAGGGAGGGGGCAGCCACAGCTCCTCTGGGCACCCTGGGCCAGGGCCTCACCATCCTCACCCAAAATAATTTCTGCCTTACAGCTAATCTAAATCTACCCTCTTTCAGTTTAAAACTGTCATCCCTTGTCTTATCACTACAGTCCCTGACAGACAATCACTCCCCACCTTTCCTGTAGTCCCCCCTTTAAGTACTGTCAGGCTGCTATAAGTTCTCCCTGGAGCCGTTTCTTCTCCAGGCTGAACCACCCCAACTCTCTCAGCCCAACCTCACAAGGGAGGTGCTCCAGCCCTCTGCTCATCTTCGTGGCCTCCTCTGGACCTGCTCAAGCAGGTCCCTGTCTTCCTTATGCTGGGGGCCTGTCCTGGCTTTGAGTGAGTGGTGGGGTTTTTGGTGCAGGTGAGGGGCCTACAGTGGTAGCCCCCTGTAAGAAACTTTTTAAAGCTCCCCAGGCTCCAAGTCAGCCCCACCTCTGCACCAAGGCCAAGCCAATCAGCTGCACCACTGTGATAATGTATTTAAGAATGGACCTGGGAGGAGGAGTTGCAACATCTGTGTGAACACCAAGGTCAGTGGAGGAATGGAAGAAGAAAGCGGGGGGAGGTGTGCCAGAGCAGAGACCCCCCTGTATCCTGTGGTGAGATGGCAGGGTGGCATCCCACCCCCAGAGGTCTAGGGTGGAGCAGACACTGATTTATGGCCTGTGAGGGGCTCCAGATGGACAATTAAGGTGGCTGCACCCAAAGGAGACTGGGATCCTGTGGGAAGAAACAGGGGCAAGTGAGTGTCTGTGTGGTGCTCAGTTGCCTTCTGAGCTCAAACCATGCCAGGGCCCCAGAGCTGGGCACAGCACTCCAGGTGGGGTCTCGGAGTGGAGTAGAGGGGGCCAGTCACCTTCCTTACCCACTGGCCCCACTGCTCTTGATGCAGCCCAGGACACAGTTGGCTTTCTGGGCTGTGAGCGCCCATTGCTGGCTCACAGTCAGTTTTCCATCCACCAACACCCCCAACTCCTCCTCCGCAGGGCTGCCCTCAATCCACTCCTCTCCCAGCCTGTATCTGTGTTTGGGATTGCCCCGACCCACGGGCAGGACCTTGCACTTGCCCTTGTTGAACTTCACGAGGTTTGCACGGGCCCACCTCTCCGTCCTGTCCAGGTCCCTCGGGATGGCATCCCTGCCCTCCAGTGTCTCGACCGCACCACACAGCTCGGTGTCATCAGCAAACTTGCCGGGGGTGCCCTCAGTCCCACTGTCTGTGTCACCAACAAAGATTATGTCAGTTGCTCTTTATCCACCAATACTGTAACCCCACTGTAGAAGAAATGCTACTCTAAACCCAAGATACTTTTTAAATTTCAAAATGATAGAAAACCCATCTCAACAGTCCTGGTGGTCAGAAATCACTACTTTGGATTTCTAGAAGCATTAATACTAAGCACTCTGTCATGTGGTTGGTAGATTGGGTTTTGTTTTAACTGAATTATATTTCTGGTGCAAGTCTATGAATTTTAAACTTACTTAATAGTTGACAGACATTAAAATTATATCTTCTAGTTTTAAATTAAAAAAAAAAAAAAATCTTGCTATCAGTTTCATGACAGCTGCCATGCTGTCTTTGGATACCTTCTGAAACATGGAGCTTGTCAGCCCTCTATATTGATCAAGCATTTTGAATTAGCCTGTTTTGCCTTTCATAACAGCCCTGCATACAAAAAGCCCATCTTTGTTATTGAAGTGGCTCTTATTTATCTGCATAACTTAGAGGTATGACATACTCCTTGATCAGTGATGGAAAAGCTGAAGGGCAGCACTAGGGAAGCTTTCCTTGACAATTTCTGTATGTTTGATTACTGAGTTCAAGTGTTCTTCTGTTCATGTTCAACGTGCAGAGGAGCACTGAAATATTTTAAAGTCTTTGTGATAGCTTTTGTATTTTGCGTGTCAGTTTGGGTAACATTGGGAAAAGATGTCATAATGTAATGCTTCACAAAGGCCTATGTTGAGGGAGGTTTGTCTTTCAGTGTAAGCGTATATTTATTCATTTTTTCCCTCCTGAGTTTTTTTTTCTTTACACTGCCTGGATTCACAGGATTTTTTTTTTTTTTTTATATTGGAACATTAGATTTCACTGATGTCTTACTACCAGTTGATTTCTGTAGCTTTCATTTCCATGACCGGTGAAAGATTTAGAGAATCAAAAATCTGAGTGGCATAGTGCTACTGGTTACCTGTTAACGTGAACCTGTATCAGTACTGTGAAATCTCCATCAAGCCTCTGAAGACGGGAGGTAGTCTAGTTTAGACTGCCACGTTTTACTACCTGTCAGAAGTATGATTATGCATCCAATAACTGCAGCATGAATCAAGTGCCTAGAAATTCTTCCTGCCTCCGTGGTGGAGGTGCATGTTCCTAGCACTTCTGTCATCTGTGTGCCATCTGGGAGGTTGATTAAGTCAGCTGTCTGTGGGGGGAAAAAATGCTCATTCTTGCTGCTGGAGAAGCCAACTTCAGCCAACACATCTTGCTGTGTTGGGAAGATGTGGCTGGATCCAGAGAATTCTTACAGATTGCTTTGAGCATCACGTAATACTGGGTAGTCGTGTTTGATGTTCTGAGGATGTGGATATTGTTCTTGAGAACTTTCAGTTTAACCTTATAAAAGGGGAATTCTCACTGCCTTTGCCGTCTGTATTAGCAGGGCTGAGATACCTTTATCTTCTTTTTGTCTAGGTAAGCTTATGTCATACCGATAGGAATAGGCATATTCTACTACGTGTGCTATTCTGCTTTCCCTTAGTGTTTACGGGGGATCACTCTTTACTGGCAACTTCAGTTAAAGAAAATGTGTTACCTTTTATCCCTGTAAGTCACAGCTATTTCTGCAGTGATCCAGATGCAGAGTGGCAGCTGTGCTTTGCATGATTCTTCAGCTCACAACATAACATCTTTCCATGCTTGCACACTGAGCAGTAGTAGCTTTATTGGTATCACTCATAGCACTATCATGATGTCTGGATCGGAAGTTAATAGTGAAGAAAAGAGGTAGCGAGTTGTAAATACCTATCTCAACAGCAATATTGGAGGGAAGACTTTATTTCAATGTATTCTTGCTATCTTTCCTGATGTGGATCTATCAGTTTTTCTGATGACTTTATAGCCCTATAAGAACTGAAGAATGACAGAAGAGAATAGCACACACTTTGATCTCAAATGATACGCAAAACTCAGAAGTACTGTATTTTCTCCCAAACTTGAATATCTTTGATTTTTAAATTAGGTTTTCTGAGTTTGCTAATATAACAAAAGCACCCCTTGGTAGTTGGGAAACTTTTTTCTTAGTTGTCTCATATGCAAAGCAACAAAACAATTCTTTAAGTAATTAATTTAAAAGTTCTTTAATGAACAGTGTTTCTGTAATTTTATCAGGCCTCTGCTTAATGCCTTTGTTTCAACACTCTAAGCCCTCACCACCTTCATATGCCAGTTAGGACTATCCTGCTGTGACAGAGCAAGTGCTTGTAAAAAAGCATTAATTATTTTGGGGTGTGGTATTCTTGTGTCTGTTCAACACCTACCCTCCTTTGTTTCAGGTTAGCAGTGATTCTCTGGATTACACAGGGAGAGTGATTAGGAGCAGGAGCTACTCCCGAGACCAGCCCATCTCCCCTCAGCCTGGTCTAGGAGGAGGGCTGAAGTGGGGGCCAGAGAACGTGTGCTCACCCCAGGGATGGGGCTTATGCAGGAACAGCACATCTCCCTTGTAAGGGCAAACAGACTGTGGGGTCTCAATTAGTCATCTGTGGGGACAGGGGGCAACTATTCCATATTTCAAGGGACAAAAAGTTAGACTTGTTCCCTGTAATGGTCCTGGGTTTTGGTTTTGTTTTGTTTTGCCTTTTTTTTTTTTTTTTTTAATCACAGACTTTAGTACTCCTGCAGAAGTTTAGTGGTATTTCAAGCAAAATGAGTACATATGCTAATTGTACTCTGCTTGTCTGTTATATAAATGTTAAAGTTATAAAGATTGAAGCTGCTGAAGAAAAATGCTAATGTTCTGCACCTTTAATATTCTAGACAGTTTGGGAGACTACTTACGGCATGGGAACTGAAAGACTATCTCTGGCTTTCTCTGGAGAGGGGGAAAAGACGTATCAGCCTCTTTGGAGGAAAATTTGTGAAGGAAATCTTTACAGAAACATCTTTTCACAAAGTTATTATTGAAATGTCTCCCAACTACTTGTCTAGTTTACAGATCTTGAAATATTTTTGTATAATTATTCTAATGTTATAATTGTTAATTTTCACTGTTTTACTTCTCTGGCTAGTGTTGAATATGCAGAGAAACAGTGCTACATGCCTTATTTTTTCTGTTGTAGTGTATGTTTTATTAATCTTTTCTCTCATTCCATGACTGCTAAAGGACCCACAGGAGGTATAGCTGGCCTGAGAGGAATCTTATGAAAGAGGACTGGAGCTGATGAGAGGCAGCAGGTTGTTATCAGTCATCTCTTTTAAACAAAAAATTTCCATTGCAAGTGGGTAATTGATTTTTACTCCTTCCCAGACTCAGTGATGTGCTACAAGATGCCTGCTTACCTTGGCAGCTGCCACTTACCAGCCCTCAGTCTATTCCTATTGGTTTTTTGCTTTACAGACAACCATCTCCCTTTTCAGATTCTTCTGGGATCGTAAAAGCGTGTGTGAAGTACAGAGTAACTATGCATGAGTAGCTTTAAAGAACAGAAAATACCAGTCTTAAATGTTGGGTACTATCAGCTAATATTGAGATACCACAACTATATGAAAAGTACAAAGGTAAATGAGAACATTTCAGTAAGTTCCCTTTAGTAATTCTTGTTTGATGAATTGATTTGGAAAC